TTTGCCTTGCAGCATGAAGGCTGTGTCGCTGATTCTTTCAACGTGGATTTTGGAGCTGTCCTGATTAATATTGGGTGAATAAAGTGCGTTTCGCTACTTCATCAAGAAGTGTTGTCATTATTTACTCCAAATCCGCACAAACTCTGTATATATGTAACAGATTAATATTGGTAAATAAAGTGTGTTTCGATATTCCACCAAGTGCTGTCGTCATTATTCACTCCAAATCCACACGAACCCTGTACGAATGTGAAGAAAGAAAATAACGTAACAACTGGTGTCAAAAAAACATAACAATATACAAATTGAAGGTCAGGAACCTAAAAGTGTGTCATTTCAAAAGTAATGGACATAAGGTGCCATCTAGTGATTTTCAAAAAACATTCCAGCTTAAAACGCATCGCCTGTCACCTGAATTTAATCACTACTGATGCATGAATGGGATGCCTAGCTGTCAGAGATGTTCTTAGAGAATATGTATATGGGATGCCCATTCGGAAAGGAATACACAATCTTGTTTCTGGGTCTGCAAAAATTATCCACAAAGCCCTTCAAATGAACTAGATTTCCTTGAAACATTTTAGATTCATAAAATTTTATCTCTATTCGGCTAAAGACATTTATTCCAATCCCCTCTTCTCGGTGCTTTCGAGTTCTAATACAGGGTTCATAGCCACATTTTAGTTAAAAAAATAAGCACCTGTAAGCCTTTTCAAGCATTTTAAGAAAAAAATAAGCACCTTCCTAATTACTCATACACACTGCATAACCTTACAATTACGTGTAATTTAAAATATGAGAATGAATACTTATTAAGGAGAAAAGCATTACCTCAAACATGGGAAAAAAAAGTTTTTTTTTTTTTGTTTTTTTTTTTTGTTTGTTTTGTTTGTTTTAATTTTAATATAGTTCATTAGAACTAGTTGACAATGAGAGAAAAAAAAACTATGAAGAACTAAACTATATTACAAGATTTAATTAAATTTAAGTTCAATAGAGAAAATAAATAATAAGGCATATTTATTGTATTCGCTTGGACCAAAAAATAAATTTATTTTTCCACTCAATATTGTTCTTTAAATCTAAATTCTGACATTTTCTAACTTTTCATTGTATATCAGTTTTTCTTTACAGATAGCAAGCAAGTAATTTTAAGTAAAAAGAGGAACATTTCTGATATCAGAAGACAGAAATTTGCTTGTGCAGTCATCTTTAACGGTAAAGCTTAACTACCGCATATTGGAAATTGAATATACAGTTTAATATTCAAGATTTTTGCGGAGAAAGGAGACCTCCCAACCTTCATACTCTATAATGATTGGCCAAAAATGAAACTATTTTGAATCGATTACTTTCCCTTTATTTAAGCCATTCAATATTATTCCTTAGAAAAGCTAATCTGTGTTAAAACAACCATTTTTGGAAGTTTACTATACTTAGAAGTTTCTGCAACTATGTTATTATAACATTCATACATATGCTCTAATATAAGCATAACATCATAATAAACACGATATGAACGACCGAATGTAGCGGGATTCTACTGCTTTCGCAATTCTTTGACCAACAACGCGGCACTAGTCTACTCTTCGTGCACCAAAGGTTATGTTAATGCAGAGAAAGGGAAAAAAGCTATTCCGGGAGTATGACTCACACCATCTGACATTCCATATTAGGAAGAAAAGTGTTTATTTAGTTTCGGCTTTGGTATGGGAAAAATGCGCGTTCTTAAAAAAAAAAAAAAAAAAAAATGCACTAAAAGCAAAAAATAGCACCAAAAAAAAAAAAAAGGCTTTAAAGAAAAGTAGCCCTATAAGGGCCTTTATATTTTATTTTCAAATATAAAGACTTATAAGCACTTATAAGGACCGCTACGAACCCTGTAATATCTTAACTTTTTTTAATATTCCATTATCCTTCAGATTAGCAACTCCACAGACAGTATTTGTTTTCACTTTGCTCTGCTTATTAATTTCCATACAGCAATTACCATTTCTACCACTTTTGGAGGAAAATCCCTCCTCAAGTCTTTATACGGCCCCCTGGGTCCTGGATTGAGAATTTACAAAATCTATGGCAATCCAAGTTTGATTTTTTGTGCAAGTCTGTGTTATTATCAGCATATGAAAAATTTAAAGTCTAAATTTTAAATGTGGAATTTTTTCCCCTTAACTGATATATATATATTATTTGATTGTAAACTAGAATTGAAAAAAAATTTTGAAGTGGAACATGTCTTACAGAAATTTCATTCTAGGCAATGACTTTAATTTCTCACATAAGAATTACAAGCAAGCAATCTCTGTAGGCACATTATACTGCAACTACATCCCAGAATGATTACAGCATCTTCCTTTAAATAGATTAAGCAAATGTTTTACAACGTCCAAATAAATATGAGAGCTTATTCTTTAGAAATGCATTCAAGATGACAAAGGACACAATATAAAAGATGTCTAATTAAATCCCATTATTTCTGCTAATAACACTGCCTTCTGTGAAAAATCTGCACCCAATAAATATTTGCAGTTCTAGTAAGATACTTTTGCCCTTAACTTAGCCAAAAACAATACAAATACCATATGTAATGTTAACAAGCTACTAAAAGCTATTAAATAAAAAAAAAATAAAAAAACTAATTTTGACACAAAAAATCCAGATGAACTTAAGCAAACACCCAGTCAAATATGGAAGAAAACATCCAGTCATGTTTGACTGGGTGTTTTCTTCCAGCAAACATGACTTGACTGGAAGAAATCTCTCTTCCAATGGGATTGCAAATTGCCGAATTTAGTGCTATATAAACACAGATCAGAAACGTTTACATCTTATTCTGCAAATCAAATTTTGCAATCTGAATTTTAAAATAAAATATAAAAGGCATTGTTAGATTTGGATTTGCTTTAATATAAATCTAGAAATTTCAGCATAATTGAGATTTGACCATTCATTCAACATTACAGAACGTCTCAGTAAACAGACAAGGAAACTAGACAGATTGCAGTTCGTAACAACGGTATGGAGAATATAAGATGTGATTTTCCTACATATATTCAAAGTAGGACATACTGCATGATAAGCTGAAAAAGCAACAGCGCATTCGGACCACTATTCTGTCAGATTTCGTTTCGGTGACAGATCACTGCAAAATGTGTCTAGTGGACAAGAACCAACACCATGAAACCAACAGTACAGATCATTACAACGGTGAACTCCATGAAATACACTGCAAATTTGTATGCAAGTATCCACCAATGGTCAAAAGAAATTGTGTCCTAAAGCTGAACTATGTTTGCCCTCATATTGCAACAAAGAATGGTGAAGGCTGTCTTGAACTGCAGTACGGTTCCCTCCTTCAACTTCTTTATTTTCCTGGTTTTTCATCCACTAACATGTCTTCCAGCATCTTGATCACTCATTGGCAGGGAAAATTTTCTCCAATGCTTAGCAGTACAAAAGGCAATTAAGAACTTTTGCCGCAGAATCAAGTCAATGGGTAAGCATGTCAAAAGTGCATTTGCAAACAGCAACAACTTAGTTTTAATTTTATTGCACTTCGGAAATGGCACATTAGGAACGGATACTTCATTTGCCCTAATAAAAAATGGCATTCATCTTGTATGTAAAGTTAATTTAATGTACATAATTCATAAGCCAGATAGTCAATTACTAAGACATTATTCGACAAAAAAACTTGTGCAGCATTCACATTAGCTTACAATAAAGACAATATTCCTAGCCATTTTATTCTATGCAGAAAGGAAAGGGGATTACGGAAATTATTCAGAACAGACATTTGAACGAAAACACAGTAAAAACTTACACTAACAATAAAAATTTTAGTTTTATGAAACTCATCCATCTTGTCACATTTAATCAATCTATTTTTATTCGGTAAATATAACTTAGAAATAGCTGAGTGATGTGAACACAGCTTAGTTCTAATATATAAATATAAAAAATAAGACTTGTCCTGAAAGCACACAAACCAGAATTCTTTCTGTAAAGACAAATGTTTGCCACAATCTTCTGGATAAATATGATATCTTAATTCCCTTGCTAAAGCATAAAAAACAAGAAATAACTTAAAACACAATCACACTATTTCGATGGTTCAGACTTTTTGGAAAATGGACAAGCTAAAAAGACTTATTGTTATCAACATCAGATTCCTCTAACAAACAGCATGTCAATTTTGTTAAATCGTGAAATCCTATCAGATGGGAATATCCCAAAATGTACTTTTGATACCTTCATAAAGACAATGCAAGGACTGATGTGAAAAATTCCATCATCAAACTGTTTCAAAAACAAATACAGCCACATGCTTTTTGCTCCTTTTGTTTGGTTTCAGACAAAATCTTTTTATCTGAGAAAATTCTGTTTTTGTACAGTAATACACAAGATAAAAATTTTTCTTGGGAGTATACAGTCGCAAAACATACAAAGGCAAGTCTAAAAAAGCATCATAGAAAGTGACCTGCAGCACTTACATAAGCATTTACATAAGTACACAGTAAAGATCAATTCTGGGACAAATTCACTGCTGCAGAGTCTAAATTAGTCTCGTTATTTATTGAACAGTTTATATAATTACAGTAATTTAAATTATGTAATTTTTCATACTACTATAAAATTTTTTAGGAATAAGTCAGACATACCAACTGAAGAATTTTATCTAATTAACATATTTTGTACTGTATTAAATTTCTTACACAGGGATAAATATTTAAAAAAAAATCAATGTTCCAATTTTAACACAAACTGCCATGTCGGGAACATGTGACCAACACTTCGATAAGATACTGGGACTGCATCAGTCACATGTGACCATCACCACATGAGTTTAAATTTCATTTATGTCAGTCACTTTCATCATACACTATTTTATTAAAAATGACTCTTAATACTGTGGTATCTACCATATTTTTGCTATTATAGTCCTTTGTTAAAATGGTTAAAGTAAAACTTTAGTTTGTTCATAGATTATACTAAAGACATAACTATACCATCCTTTACATGGATGGTATACATAAATAACAAGAAATCACACAGTGCATTTTACACAAGCAATCTAACAAATGTGGAATAAAAATAATCAAAATCCATGCTATTTGCATAAACTTCAAGAGATATCTGACCTTTGAAGAATGTGCAGATCTTGGTGACCGGCTAAGGGATGTTAGTGCAATCGCATTCAGAGCATGATCCACAGTTTGTCCATCTGCAACCCTGTCCAATCTTCCTGTCACCGTACTGCATGCTGGGAGACACCAAGGAACAACAAACATGCAAAATGTTTGAAACTACATTCTACATACATGCCCCTTAACCATAAAACTACAGACTAATCAGCTTCTAAAAAGCATCGAAATAAATTGGAAAAAATTAAGTGTTATTAGGTCAAAACTTTTACACCATGATAAATATGATCCTATTTTCGAAGCGAAAGAATTTGTTTCTTTAGAAGCTAGCCAGCATGCAAAACATGCAGAGTAGTAAGCAATAAAACAAAACTATATGCGATAGTTACAAGAAAGGCTTGCAGACATAGTCAAGCAATCAAATATACCTGAATAGCAAAATATTAAATTATATATTTATCATGCAAAAGATATACCTGGACAAAGCATCAAAGTATTATCCAAAAAAGCATAATCACATTTTATATAACCAATTTTCTGGACATTTACATTATTTCCTTCACCGTAAAATCACTTCCTCATATAAGCAATGGTAATAATACATTTTCATGACCCATTTATATCTAAATATAATCTCACATGCAAAGCATTAACTGCTATCAGAAAATAATTTGATAAGAATATTAGTTATTGATACTGACACATTTAAAAATCTAAGTCAAGATTCATATTTTACGCAATTAGCTTAGTTTTAAAGCCAACAGCATCAGTAAAATCAGCTTAAAGCTTTTTTTAATGCATATGGATTGCATGTTAGCATGTAAGAACAAAGTAATACTAAGAAATAAAAGGAAAATGTCCCACAAGTCCAGTATCAAAATTTTATAAAAATCAAGTTTTTCTTGTTTATCAGATCTAAATTCAAAAACATATTAAGGGGTAGTCACTCTGAGGTGTCATTGAACTTTTCTTACAGATAATAGCAGGCCAGTAATTTTTGTTTTCTGGAAGGAGGATTTAAATCTAGATCAAGGATGTCAAACTCGCAGCCCACAACAAATATTTTTGCGGCCCGGCCAATATATCGGCAAATAATACTATATAATAATAAAATAACATATCGACGAAGAAAAAAATGAAATGTTTATTGCTAAGTAATTAACGATAATTTATTCAGTGTTGTTAGATTACTCACAGCGAGCTGACACACACACTACTTAAATTACAAATGCGTGTGAGTAGCTTGCGTTCAGCTAACCTTCGGCTTTTGGGGGACACGTGCACTCAGAACTTGTACGCATCCCCCGATAGCCGAATGTGGCCGAACTCATGGTCTCAGTTTTCCAATCATAGTTTTGTACGATATATTGGTGCATGCATGCTTTGCTTTATTATTAATTATTACTTAATTCATATTGTTACGGATTTCATAGTTATTTATTTATTTAGTTTTTTTTTATTTAGAATTGTAATTAGATTTGCTTCATGTTGCCTTAGCAACGCAGACGATTTTTGAAAAGACAGCTGCGTTGGAAGGTTAAAAATAGAACAGCGCGTGCATTTAATACCTAATAAATAAATATCTCGTAATTGCTGTTGCCATCCACAAAAATCCAGATATTTATAGATGTTTCCAGTATATTCGAGAAATTAATTATAAAGCTTATAAAAGCCGAGAACAAACAACTCATCTCAGTAGTAGCTGTAGTTCTAGCGAACTGTTTGTTTACTTAATGCTGTGATTGATTTGTAGCGATTTCGCTGTGAGATAGAATTAGTTTCTCTGTTTTGAATTGATTTTTGCTAAACGTTTGACATTTTGTGATATTGTTAGAATATTTTTGAAGAAATATTTCAGCATTTTGATTTATCTCTTGTGGAAAGAATAAATTTTTGTTAACTTTTTAACGTTAACCGTGTTTATTCCAGCCCTTTGTATTCAGTATGTCTATATCAAAACCAAGTGGTAGTAAAATTAAACGAAAAATCGCTGACGAACATAGAATATTCCAAGTAAAATGGGAATTAGAATATTTTTGCTGTGAAATAAAAGATAAAATAATCTGCTTGATATGTAATAATACTATTAATGTACCAAAGTTATATAATATTAAACGTCATTACGAACAACACAAATCGAAATATAACAATTACGAAGGATTAATGAGAGAAGAAAAGTTGAAAGAGCTCAAGTTAGGAGTGAAAAAGCAACAGTCCATGTTTAGTAAAGTATTGCAAGAAAGTGAAGCGGCGGTACATGCAAGCTACGTCTTGTCCGAGTTGATAGCTAAACATTCGAAGCCTTTTACTGACGGTGATTTCATCAAGGAATGCCTAATGAAAGCTGGAGAAATTGTTTGTCCTGGAAATGTGAAGGCTTTTCAATCAATTTCATTGTCTCGAAATACAGTTGCGGAAAGAGTTACTGATTTAGCCGCGAATTTAAGTGATCAGATCAAAGCAAAATCATCTAGTTTCGAAAGTTTCCTCCATTGCCTGTGACGAGAGCTCGGACATTAGTGGCAAAGCTGAATTAGCAGTGTTTCTTCGTTCTTGTGACAAGAATTTTAACATTTTTGAGGAATTACTGGAACTAATACCGATGCCTGGTACTACCACAGGAGAAGATATTTACTTGTGTTTTTGGACTTCTGCAGAAATACAATCTACCTTTGGCAAAATTAAATTCTGTAGCTACAGATGGCGCTCCATCAATGACCGGGAAAAAACAAGGGCTTCGTAGCATTACTAAGAAAAAAACTTAGTGAAATTCATGGTTCAAACATTCATCATATGCATTGTATTATACATCAAGAAGTTCTATGCACGAAAGTAATAAATATGGAGAATGTTTTGTCATATATAAAAAAGTTATAAATTTTATAAGATCTCGAGGTTTAAATCAGCGTCAATTCACTGCTTTCTTAAGTGAGTTAGATAGTGAATATTCGGGTTTGTCCTACTATACCGAGGTACGTTGGTTATCTTGCTCCAAGATTCTCAAACAATTCTGGGATTTGAAAGAAGAAATATGTCAGTTTTTAAAAACGAAAAATCAAGACGTAAGTTTGTTTTACGATCCAATATGGATACAAGATTTATCTTTCTTGGTTGATATAACCAAACACTTAACCGATTTAAATTTATCGTTACAAGGAAAAGATCATATCATTACGAACATGTTTGACATAATTAAAGCATTCAAATGTCAACTAGTTCTTTTCTTTGGGAAAAACAACTTAAAAATGAAGATTTGACGCACTTCCCGACGTGCAGCATGAACAAATCAAGTTTAGATGATAGATACTTGTTCGTATCAAAAACGCAGAAAAAATTGCAAATTTAACAACTGAATTTGAAACGAGGTTTAATGATTTTAGTTCCCTCGAAGACAAATTTTTTTGTTTTCTTTTTCTTTCGATTTTCTCAATAAGTATTGACTCAGTACCCAGCCATATGCAAATGGAGGTGATCGAGATTCAATGCAACTCAAATTTGAAAGCAAAATTCATTGAAGTGGGCGTGCCTGAATTTTACAAATATTTACCAGCCAGGTTTGAAAATACTCGAAAATTCGCATATGAAATTATTTCCATGTTTGGTAGCACTTATCGGTGCGAGCAGTTATTTTCAGTCATGAAAGGTAATAAGTCTCCTATTAGAAACCGTATTAATGATGCTCACCTTGGGTCAGCGTTGAAAGTTATCACTGCAAACAAAATTTCTCCCGAAATAGGAAAGATAATAGCAGAGAAGAGATGTCAAGTATCAGGACGTAAACATTAAATTTTTTCTTCTTTTCTATATATATATATATATATATATATATTTTTATTATTGTATTATTCGAAATAAATCTACGTTTCTATGATTTTTTTTTTTTTTTTTTTTTTTTTTTTTTTTTTTTTTTTTTGGTGGCCCGCCTAAAGTTAAACCTTGTTTGTTTGGCCCAAGTGTACCTATGAGTTGACTATGAGATTTTAAGTGACCTGCCTCATAGGACAAAAAAATTAGTAGAGTTGCACCTGTGTAATTATGATCTTGGAATCTTAATTCCTATGATGCAAGACTTATGGAACACTTGTTCAACTTTATATGTTAATTAGAAATCAAGTAAAAAAAGAATAACTTGGATAAAAAGATCCTGGATATTGTTACATGATATCACTGAATTTAATTATATGGCTGCCAATATTTGCCTGACAAAACATACCATTTGATGTAGCATTTAAAACTGTCTCCTTTGTTGTTACAATTGTTTCTTTAGCACTGCTCTTTGTGCTAGAGACCATTCCCTTCATATTCTCTGTGGCATTCAAGAAAGCCTCTCTAGCATTTTCTGTGGCATTCATAACAGACTCCACAGCATTTTCTGAAGTACTAATAACAGACTCTTTAGCATTCACAATAGTTTCTTTTGTAGAGACTACTGTAGAAGATATTTTGGTCACTGATTCTTGAACTACTTTTGATGACTCAGCTTTTTCAATGACAGTTGTCACACCTTCTGTACAAAGATTGCTGTTAAATAAAAAAAAAAATTAAAAATTAACTAACAGAATTATTACAAAACTAATTTTAATTACATATTCAGAAATGAGTTATATTCACTCAAATGTTCACTTAAAATTATAGTAAAGTTGTTTGATACCTTGCAATGTTAATTTAGCTAGTATTAAATTTGCCATGTCGTACAAAACTCGTCCTTAACAAGCCATTTAACATATATGTATAATCCTGCGACAGAGGCATTGTAAGACAGTGCTGTTGAGGAAGGAGTGGACCCTGACCTAAGCGGCATTGTAAGACAGCCATGATTAGGCAAACTGAGAAATATTAGAGTTCAAAACACAAACTAACGCAGTGGCAATGTGTTGTGCTTGAAATACAATTCCTCAGCATACACACTTGTATATACATTAAGTATATAATTAGTTCCTTTAACCCTCTGAGCATCATGACCGGCTATATCCGGTCATGAGAGTTTTGTCACTCATTATATATTAGCAGTAATTTAAAATATTTTGCTTTCTTACTTTCATTAATAATATAAATGGCATCTTGATAAATGTAAGTTTATGAAAATAGAAACTAAAATAAGTAAATATACATATTTAGCTAATAAAGGCTCTTTAAATACAGGTCTTCATGACATCCAAAAAAGAGGGCTCCTCGGAAGGTTAATAAAGCAAAAGTTATGTTCAGTGTGACATTCCTTATGAGTCAGATCATCACTTGTAACAACTTCAGAAGTGGGATTACTAACTACTGGATAATAACATCGATGTTTGTCCTCATACACCACACAAACACACAGACATTCTTCTTTATATATATAGGTAGATTTTTCAAAAAATACAAGTTTTTTATTAAACTCTACAAACTGAAAGCGAGCAGTAGCAACACTGTTCGAAATAAAGCATAATTTTTATCTCCAACGCACGAGACTGTTGCCACTTGGAAAAAATGAGTATGAAAATTAATGTTTTCAGAGTTTTTAATTAATATCTTGGCCGATAAAAGCTTTATGAAGATGGGAACAGTCAAAATGGCTTCCCACAAATTTTTGGAATCAGGAATAATGTATTTAATGTTTGGCAATGCTATTTTTATTTCAACATAAAAAACTTTAAAATTTTTCATTAACAAACTCCATGATTTGGAAGCGAGCAGTGGCGACACTTCTCGTAATAAAGCAGATTTTTATCTCCAGCATGAAACACTGTTATTACTCGGAAAAATGAGGGTGAAAATTAGCATTTTCTATTGATTCTCCGATTTCACCCCCCTTTTTTAGTGGACATCGACCTTTCCAAGGACCTAGAAAAGAATTTTAGAAAGTTTCACGATAACTATAGTAGTGACCGAGTTAGTTGCGAACAAACACACAAACATTCTTTTTTATATATATAGATAGATTTAGTAATATTTAGACAGAATTTCCATTATTTAATTATCTGAGTACATTTAAACAATTTGTGTATTTAAGTATGTTCATTGTTGTGTAAATTTTTAGCACATTATGCATTTTTAATATATCAGTAATTTATTCTAGATAATGTGCATTACGAATTTAATGTAGAAATATGTAGTAATTAGAAAATCAGTTTGAATCTTTGGACAAAGATGATTTTCATGTCAGACTACATGAATACAATGTCGATATATGGCACTGCAGGAGCTACCTTGGAAGATGCAAACTAAAAAGCATCAGAGTTAGAGCAAAGGTCAAGTGAATGTAATGGCAATGTGTTGTGTTTGAATTATGATCCTCCAGCATGCAAGCTGAATCTACATATGTATATAATTAGTTCCTTTAATAAAACAAAAGTTATAATTCAGCATGATGTTTTTGATAAGTCAGACCAAAGAGACATCACCTCTAACATATGCACCATAATACATATAAATGAAGTCAGTTTGATTAAATGATTTATTTCTAATGGAACAAGGTCTTAACTGCAAATCAGAAATATGCAAATGACATATGGGTTTTCAAGTAAAATCCAAGAACTCAGTCACGCAAACTGAATTTAGTGAATATAGATCAGTTACTACATAACTTTCAAAATAAGTATCTATCCAGCTTTTCAAATTCTGTAGGTCTGCTAGCATGTTCTAGCCAATGACTACTAAATGATCAAAAATTTTAAAAATATTAATTGCAGGTATTTGTTACTGTCGTCCTTAAAAAAATAATAAAAATTTAATAGCCAGACTTCTTACATCTGTTATTTAGCTATCCTTTCACCAAGTATGTTGCCCAGAGGGCAACTGATTATTCAGCAGCAAGAAAAAGGTATACACAATTACATACACTAACACCATTTCCAAGATTCGAACATACACCCAACAAAGTGGCATTCAGCTCCCCTAATGACCACTGGAGCCAGTGGAGATCTGAATATAAATATAAAACAGGCCAAGGCTTTCATCCTGCCCAAAAGAAAAAAGGTTATGGCTATTACTGGCCAAAGCAACAGAACTTAAGATGACACCATGAAACTGCTTAACTCCATACCAATTTTAATTAACACCATGAAGGATGAATCCCAGAGTTCCTTGCACTTCTTGTTCTACCAATGTTTCCGGCAGAGTTTTATCTAGATGGATTTTTATCATTTAAAATATCCATGCCTTCTCCAGGATGCAAACTTGAGCCTAAATACATAGCAGCTGGCTTAATTAACCATCATCCTGAACAGGATAAAAATATGTTTAGTCTTAGCAAATGATTTTACATAATCCATGAAACAGTCAATAGCCAAAATTAAAGAATAATATAGTGTTTTCCAGCATAAGTAAAAGGGCAGATAATTTTCCCCTTCCGTAAATGTTCTGAACATTTATATCCGCAACATTATAACTAAATGCCAGCCATTTACTATTGATTTTTAGAAAAAAATCCTTCACATATAAGTAATATTCAATGATGAAAAATTGCACAGATCAAACTCATCCCGAGGAGAAAACTTACGCTAAGTGATCCTTGACACTGTCAACTGTGATGTCCAACTCTCCTTTACTTTCATCTTGAGAAACATTTGTCTCAGGTTTGTTCTCAGAAACATCCATTTTTTCATCCTCATTTGCTCTTAAATTAAAAAAAACACCATTGTTTTAAACACAAATTTTTAAATTACATACAGAATGTCATTACATTCCATAGAAGGAATATGACAAGATTCAAATATTTTACCAAGTTACCAAAATCTGCACATATTTGCAATCATAAATTGTGTATTTTAAATATGTAATGACATTAGCAGTCTTAGCAAATGATAAACATTAATTTTGAAACATTAAGAAAATTTTAAATACTTTAGTTTAACATAGTGATTCCCAAATATTTTAGGTTTGTATTATCCAAAGAGAAAACCCTTACCAAAAAGACATTTAAGCATACAGTTGATAAACACATATGTGAAATTCAGAAATATTCGTAAACTGCACTAGATTAAGTATACATTTTTTTAACATATAGAATAAGTAAACTTTAATCAGTAGGAAGGATAAGCCTTTTTTTCTTTGAATAAATTTAAAAATCTGCAGATCAAATTAGACAGTTTTTATCCTGTTTACTTTTTAATCACAGCAGCTTCTGAAAAATCCAACTTTACAAAAATACAATATCACGCATGGATAAATCGTCTTAATTATCTTTAGAAATCAAATTTGCAACAAAAATTCAGATGATTCAGAGACACGTAATTATACTTGTTTGCATAACCTGTACCAGAATGGAATTTTGGGAGGGAAGAGAGATTTTAAGATTATGGCACAACACCAATAGTTCTACCTAACAAGAGACGTGCACCTCGCAAGAGATTATTCTGGGGAAGATAAAAAACTGGGCCATAATCACATTACACAGGAGGAAACTACAACCCCCCCTCCCCGATACAGTGAGCCTGAGGACAATTACTTATTTCAATTTTACCATTCAACCATAGGTTAGCTCTTGTACTCAGTGATAGTACAGCTTGTTTGCTGTCAATGCAAGCAGCATAAATAATACAGGTTTTCATTGTATTCTATACCTTCTTATAGTAACTCTCAAATCTACAACTATTAAATTACAATTCTTAAAAGAACAATGATAGATGGCTGCTCTTCACAAGTTTTCGATCCCACCAATCCAAGATTTCTGCTCTAAAAGCAGCGAGCTCACTTTTTCCTCTCTATACAACAGTTACTTCAATAAATCAACTAATGGGTCAAGGGATAGAAAATTTTTAAAAAATCTATTACCAATAGATCCTCCTCAATTACATCTTCAATGAAGTTATGTCTTCCAAAATATCCAATGTAAACGTTTAAGAAATACAGTGATCTCAATGATGATCCTCAGATAAGGTCGTAGCCACAATCACTGCCAACTGCTTTTTACTGTGATTTGAAAATAAGCACTAAAATAGCTATAACTAAATTCTCCCAGAAAATACAATATAATATTCAACAGAAAGTTAATGCATTGCAGAAAATGAGAATTCTATTTTCCTGTTGCCACTGTGTTAGCATTATAATATTAAATGAACACTTCGTGAACATTTAGATTATTTTATTGTTCATCTATTATGCTTCACATGTATACACTTTATTATTAGAGAAGGCCTTGCTAAACAGCGACGTTTTAACCAATACATAGCCTTTTAATGCATATGAAAAATAACAGCCTTTGATCATCTGCAATAATAAGAATCCATGTACTTATAAACTGTTCAAATTGCTTTACAAAAAAGAAGACAACTGTCTGATATGTTTAAACAATAATAACTTCTAGTAACAATTTATGTTTTTGGTAATAAAATTTCTCTAAGCAGTGTTATTAAAAGGAAACTGCCCTATTCAGATAAATTTGAATTTTTTAAATGATTCAGAATCATTTTAAAAGAAATAATGACCAAAACCAGATTCTAAAATTACAACAAAAATGAAAAACATCATAAGAGGTGATATTTCATTTTTGGCAAGGTCATTTTACACTTAAAATTTCCAAAATATCTCATACTGAATATAGCATACTGAAACTCACACGGCAAATGTAAGCAATAAAGCTCAGTTTTTTACACAATTTACAAATTTCTCCTATACATTATTGAAAAACCAAAAATAAACTAATGTCTTTATATGAGCTCTGATTTTATTTAACTTGGTATTACAAATATGAAATTAAGATAAATAAATACACAATTAAATTTAAATCATGAGGGTTTTTTTTAAATGTAGAAAATAAAATCTTTAACAGCTTCATAAATTAAAAAAGCACTAGTTGTACAAGATTATATGCCTACAACTTTTATAGACTAAAGCTGTGATAGCAACTAACAAGTCATAGAAACAATGTTTCTACACAGATGCATAAGTTTTACTCACTTGTTCTCAGATTCTGTTATGTCAGTTGTTTTTTCTTGTTCAGCATTTTCAACATTGTTTTCTGTCACTTCTTTTGGTTGCTCCGATTCAATCAAAAGAGGTGGCCTTGCACCTTCAGGAAGCTCTATTTTACACTTTGTTTCCAATATGTCTCTAGCACTGAGGGTAAAACGCTGAAATTCACATGGTGAATGCAAATAAAAAGCTTGACCACGCTTTGTGAAGACCACACTAGAAATACCACTGGAACAAAAAAATACCAAGTTTAGGAAAATTTTCATACTCAAGTCAAAAAGCCACCAAAAAAATATGTTAGCAAATTTACAAATTTTACTGAATTTAGGAAATTAAAACATAATTAACCCTTCCGCATGGCAGCATGAAACGCATTCATTTTGCAATTGGCACGTCAGGGTGATATATCATTTTCTATTTCACCTCTGCCAGTCAAATATTCATGACTGTTGTGGAACATTTTAGAAAATAATATTTTTGGCACAAGATGCCATATGTCCATAGGATTTAAGATGCAAGTAGTCTGACCTTCTACATGTATCTTCTACTTGAAATACAGGTGATTAACATGAACTTTGATTATGATTATACAACATAAGGTTCAACTTGCAAGCTAACAGCTTTTAAAACGTGCACACAGTATTTAATAGTGAACGGTTTGATAAATTGACCAAGTTACACTACCGCTATACAGATATAGAAAAAGGGTTTGTCGGGCAACTATACTTGGGAAGTATTATAATGTAGATGTCGGTGAGCTGTTTGGTGTGCAAACTGCTACTGAAAAAGCTGAAACCTTAGACTCAGCAGAAAAGCATGATAGTTACAAGCTTGACAAAGTTTCAACTCAACCAAAAAAAGGATTACAAATTTCAAAACTATTAGCTGGCTATGCAGAAATCGTACAATGTCAAGTCAGACCAATTTTATGAAACTACTAGCATCAAAATAACTTTTATATTGTGCAGGTCTCTTCCTAAAGTATAGGTCTCTTCTAAGTCTTCTGACACTGATGTTTTCTCCGTACTCTTGAAAATTGCACACATACTTAAAGGTAATAGTTTGAGAACCTTTGCTCCAATAAATACCATGTTTACTGAAGTACTTTTCCCCTCTTTTCCTATTAATTATACCATTTTGAAACTGCAAGGGGAGAAATATATGTAGCATACTATTTCTGAAGAGATGACTTACATGATAATCATAACATATCAAAAAGCACACATAAAAATATAATATATATTTGAAAGAACTTACCACTTTCAATAATATTAATTTTACTTACACAATTTAATTTCATATTTGTGCATATATTTCCCACTGTTACCATATCTTAAAAATTTATTTTACAAATACCAAACTTGCCACTTAAGCCATAAGTTCACAGGCTCTCCAGCACTTTTTAACAATGTCCTCCTACCGAGAAAGTGCAATAGAATTATTTAAATGTCAAAAAATTATAGGCTGATTTGGAGTCTCACAAAATACAGTTTGGGGAATTAAACACTTATTCTGTAAAGGTGGTCTCACAAACAGTCATGTCCGGTCAGATGCCTAAATAGAGCTACTCCCGTCTTTCTTGGAAAACTGGGAATGAAACTTGTCTTTTTTCCCAGAACCCTCCATCTCTTATCCATATCACATTAAATCACATCCTGTTTAAAAATTTTCCTAAGAGTTGGGTTAAACAACTTAGTTGTATGAAAAGAAAGCAGTCGATTAACACGTAGCATTATCAAAGTTACTTTCTTAGCCAATTCAATCAGCTTCTTCATTTCCCATAATTCCACAGTGAGCTGTCATCCATTAGAAATTCTGTGTGCCACTACCTTAAGCAAAGGCCTACAGTCTTAAAATTCTTTGGGAACTATATTACCATAAATAAGTTTATAAATTACATGCTGAGGGAAAATATGAGAATAAATACAATATTCCAAACAGTTAGTGCCAGACTGTCATTCATTTCAAACACTTCCTCTGATGAGAAACCTATGATATAAAGATCATACCAAGAACCAATTTTAAATTGCACCTTAAAACCCTGCCAGTACCTGCACAAAACTCTTCCTTCACAGTTTACTAGCCACATTAATATTATGAATCATACTCAGATTACGGAACAGCTTCATAACTTTGAATAACTGCAAGATCTGCAGCTCTTAAAAACATAACACTTGTGTTTTCCCCAGAATAAGACTGTGATTTTTCAAGGTACTCCTATTATAAGAGTGCTAGTTAAAATTGTCAGTCAGATGGTCATTTAATTGAGAAATGATCAAGTGTAGATACAACACACATATACATTTTAAACAAATGAATGTGTTTGCGACAAGACAAATCGGAACCTTCAGCAATCAACAGCAGACCTTTAGCACTCGATTTAATAATAAATTTTCATGCTTTGCTAAAATGACTACAGTACAAAGTCTTTAATCCGGACTCGTCGGGACTTCGGCGATTCCGGATTAGGGGTTTTTCCGGATTATAGATCAATTTAAATCTGATAAGATGGTTCGCAGAGATTAGAAAATTAAAAATATGAAACCGTAACTTATGAAATAAAGAGCAATTATGATCTAAATGGTATCAAAAATTTTTTAAAAAACTTCATTTATTTGTTTACTTTATTAAACATTTCTTTCAATGCAAGTCGTTTAAGTTGCTTCGTTTTATGTGCTAATACTTTCTCTTTAATTCTATAACAGACATAATTTCTTGTTCAGTTACAAAGTTCCGCTGTTCAAATCCTGTAATTGCTTTGCATAGAATACCGACTAACTTGTCAATCAACTTGTTTTCGTTTTCACTAACCTCTCTGTCACTTTCTTCATGCCTTTATCCATTTTTTGCAGCTATTCCACATTTTGTTTGATGGACATTGAAACATGCTTTTGCTTTGTAGATCCTTTAGCAGCTCCAGAATCGGAAACTCTTTTTGACATAATCGAAAGTTCAAGCTTACTTTTTATAAAATTACTCTAACAGTCTGCAAAAAATAATAAGCTGGATCCAATTAGAAGATTAAGGAACAATGCAACCTGCAACATTAACTAAAATAGATAATTAGATACGTTTAGCCTAGCTTATACCATCCGTTATACATTAAACGTGCATGTGTAAACGCATACGCACGCGTGTAAAGGTATTATGCACATGGGTAAATGCTATGCATGCACAGAAATTTTGTAGCTTTGAGGTCCGGATTATAGATTATTCTGCATTATGGACATCCGGATTAAAGACTTTGTACTGTATATAAAAAATAAAAAAAAAAACTAGTCTTTCGACTACCAAGAAAGGAACTGTGAAAGACAGAATAAATATCTCGCAGCTATCTGCAGAGAGAAAATGAATCTACGAATGGTTCAAAAATGGAGATCAGAATATAACCACTTCGGCATTTTCCATGTCAGTGTGTTGTTCACTGACAAGGAAAATGCCAAGAGGCATAAATGTGGTTCGGGTTAGCAACCATGATTTTCTGAATTGGAAAACATCTGTGAATTGACTGCTGGCTCAAGAGCAAAGTGTTTGGTTATTTGCAGGGCTGATATTCAAGCATTTGTAATGCAATGGCATAACCGCTAGATATCTTGCCAAGTGAATTTAAAGCATAACAATACTCGATGGATGGCTTCCTTCAGCAATATGAATTGCAACAATATTGTTCAAACTGGAAGATAAGGAATTGATTCAATGAGCACACAGAAGTGTTTTATTAATACAACTAACTAACATGATTGTTATGGATGAAACTGCAATACTCATGGGTCAGTCTCAAACTACCATTGATCACAGGAATATCATTCTGACATACATTAATTGCCTCCACTGGTTACAAAAGCACACACATTACATGTATTTTGACAATTTGTTTTGAAGAAAACCCTCCTACCACACTGATCATCTCCATGATCTGCAAAGCTTGGCACACACAGGCAGCAATAAGAAAATGTGGGTCAATTTATTTCTACTACTTGTTTCACGAGGTGGCCAAAGAGATATGCTAGTGTGGAATTCTGCTAGCACTCACCGTGCTAAAACCATAAAGAACTTTCTTGCAGAAAGAACTGATCAAATAACAAAATGACTATATCTGCAAACTCTTGCTATGGCAAATAAATAAGTCATTTAAAGATAATTTTCACACAGAAATCAATGACTACATTAGAATAGAATGGAGAGAAATCAACAAGGAAACTTCATGAAGTCTATCATACTTGGGTAAAGAATGCATGGGATAAAATAACAGACAGCTGAGTTGCCAATGAGTACACTATGTGGAAAAGAAGACTTCATTTAGAACAGCTTTACTGCTTAACACGAGAGGGTAAGGCCAATGGTCTTAGACAAAATGAAGTCTCAAAAAAATTCAGGCCAGAATTTGCAATTCCAAGCTTTATGACAATGTTCCAAAAAAGGATGACAAGGGTGTATTATTTTGTTTATTTCTGAATGTTTCTTGAATATGAATAAATTTCTTGAACCTGAAGAAATGTGTTTCTTGAACATGAACAAATGTTAATGAAAAAAAAAAAAAAAAAAAGACATCCTCTTTAAATTAACCCTACTTTGCCTTTTGCAGAAAAAGTATAAGTTATTTTGGAAAGCATAGTAAAACATTTGCACAAAGTTTTACTATTCTCTAGTTCTACCATTTGTTATCTGGCAATAAATTGTGATACTGCACATTTTTTTTAAAGAATGTCTTTTTAAAATTGATAATGACAGTTTAATTCTGAAGACCACAATGACAGAGTGTTGGTATTTTTTAATGTTCATAGTCAGTAAAATATTTGAGCTTATTTAAACGTAGTACAAAGTCATCTGGACTCATACAGACTTTGGTGATTCTGGATTAGGGGTTTTTCCGGATTATAGATCATCAATTTAAATCTGGTAATAAGCATGAAGAAATTATAAAATTAAAAATATGAAACAGTAATTTATGAAATAAAGAGAAATTATGATCTAAAAGGTATCAAAATGTACAAAAAAAAAAAGCTTAATATTTATTTGTTCACTTTATTAAACATTTCTTTCGATGTAAGTTGTTTATGTTGCTTCGTTTTTTGTTCTAATACTTTCTCTTGAATTCTATAACCAGAAATAATTTCTTGTTCAATTCCACTGTTCAAGTCCTGTAATTGCTGTGTCGAGAATACCGACTAACTTATGAATCTAAATTTTTTCTTTTTCAATAACTTCTCTGTCACTTTCTTCACTATCGGATGTGGTACATCGAAACATGCTTTCGCTTTGTAGATCAGATCGTTTGGCAGCTCCAGAATCGGAAACTCTTTTTGACATAATCAAAAGTTCAAGCTTACGTTTTATAAAATTGCTTTAACAGTCTGCCAAAAATAATAAGCCGGATCCAATCAGAAGAATAAGGAACAACGCAATCTGCAACATTAACTGAAATAGATAATTAGATAATTTTAGCCTAGCTTATACTGTCCGTTATACATTAAACACGCAGGCGTTAACGTATTATGCGCATGCAGAAAAGCATTATGTGTTTACGCATGCGCAGAAAGTTTGTAGCTTTGAGGTCTGGATTATAGATCATTCCGGATTATGGACGTACGGATTAAAGACTTTGTACTGTATATTATTTCCAAGTACTAATTTACTGCATTAGTTAACTAGACTTCGGTCAATCCATGTCCAATTTTTGAGAAACTAATTGTAATTTTCTAATGAATAATGCTTTATGATTCTATTAGTTCTCTATAAATTTATTATTTTTATACTATATAAATGTATCTTTTATAACTTCGAATCTAATCTATTACTCAAAACATTTTCATGTAAAAAATATGATTATTTTAACTTCCGAATCATTACTAAAAACAGGATTTTTAAACAGTACTTTAAAAAGGATATAGTTATTTTAAAATGCTTAATTCAAGAAAAGAAAATGTTTAGAATAGGCACAACTTCATGCTATGGCCTGTAGAAAATAAATTTATTTCAAACAAATCCCAATATATTTTTTATTTTGACAATTTTGTTAGTTCATATGATATTCTCATTCTTATCAATTCAGACATACTCAGCTAAATTAAATATAAATTTAACATTGAATAACAATTTTTTGATTTTTTAAAAAGAAATTAATAATGAATCAAAATGCAATTATACATTATATTTCAATTTTCTCTACAAACAAAATTTATACATTTAGTTAACAATTACCAGTTTCAGATTAACTTAGAATTACAGTTATTGCTGTCATAACGTCAGTCCTTTAACATGAAAAGGTAGAGATTAATCTCATGATTTATGAACACACTTCATTATACTTCTTTTGAATACATTTACATGGAACATAAAATTTATATATTTAGAAATTTCTTATTCTTACTTAATGTCCTCACGCTTTAGACAATTATAAGCTTGTTGTCTCCTTAGGTCTGGGACTGTAAATATGCTGACTTCACCCTGATTAGATAGGCATGTCATACAGTTTTCACTGTAATTTTCATCTGTTAAAACAAAAACAAAAACTTTCAGTTTATGTACTCTATAAATACTGAAAGACCAACAAAATCATTAATTGAATAATCTAATCAATATGCAATGTTCCGATTTTTAATGTTTTAAGTTAAATGTGTTAAAAATATGGAAATGATAATTTTCTATAGTAAAAATTCACTACAAATGCTTATTGAAAAACAAATTTAGAATTGAGCAAGAACCGACCTTCACAAGACCTAGAATTCCCAGAAAATCACATAGAATTGGGCACATATATGTTTAGTCTTCTCCAATTACCTACAGCTCAGACCAATTTCACTTAAAGGTACACCACGAGGAGGGAGGGAGACAGTTCTATATCTCCCGTTCTATCGACATGTAAAAATCGACATGTTTTTTCAGAAAAAAATCCAATTTTGTGTCAAAATACCTATATTAGAACAATGCTATATATAAGTCTAATACATATCCTAAGTCGCACTTTCCAGACATAGAAATACAATTTGAATTTCGTCAACAGGCCTAGAAAAGAAGACATAGAACTGTCCTTTGGGGGGGGGAGTGTACATTGACTACTATGACAACCTGTAAGAGCAGTGATACACTTTTACATTACAAAATATTAACCTTTTGTGGTCGTATGTCTAATCATAGCCACCACCAGCAAAGAACCTTACTTATCTAAGTCAACAAGCTACATAATTTTGTATATTTTTGTATTACTCTTTGTTTCAACAAAAATCAAATTCGACCAACATGATACCTACGTACTCTCTGAAATGTCATGCTAATTGTTTTCCATATTTCGATTCTATGACTCAAATTATGCCTAAATATTATATTACATTTTCTTAAATTTGGTGCAAAACTAACGGAGAAATTCAAAAATTTATCTTGCTGTAATTTTTCAATTTTTGCCAAAAATAATTTACTCCGCGAACTTTTTAATTTATAGCAACTTATTTTCTTTTTTTCATTGTAGAAGACTTGGAAAAAGTTATCGTTCATACTTTCAAATACTTTTAACAAACTGCATATTATCTTTTGGCATCATTATCGCTCAAAGAAAAGATGCCAAATTTCAAAGTGCTCCAATATGTAAATTCATGTTTATCTTAGAAAATTTTGAATAAAAAACCAATTTTTTTGAAGGTGTGCCTAGAAATACATCTACTTTAAGATGTTAAAAATTTTATAGGATATAATTTTTTTAAAAACTACTCGTGCAATTTTTACAAAACTTGGCAGTTTTACATAATTTTAGTCATAGAATGGGAATATGCAAAAAATTGGCATGTTTTTTCAGAAAAAAATCCAGTTTTGTGTCAAAATACCTATATTAGAACAATGCTATATATAAGTCTAATACATATCCTAAGTCGCGCTTTCCAGACATAGAAACGCAATTTGAATTTCGTCAACCGGCCTAGAAAAGGAGACATAGAACTGTCCTTTTGGGGGCGGCAGGGTACATTGACTACTAAGACAACCTTAAGAGCAGTGATACACTTTTACATTACAAAATATTAACCTTTTGTGGTCGTATGTCTAATCATAGCCACAACCAGCAAAGAACCTTACTGATCTAAGTCAACAAGCTTCATAATTTTGCATATTTTTGTTTTACTGTTCGTTTCAACAAAAATCAAATTCGGCCAACACGATACTCACGTACAAACTTAATACCACTACGAAGGGTTAAAATTAAGATGAAGCTTTAACAAACATACAATTCCTTTAGGCATTTACTCTTGAAACAACACAAGAACAGCATACCAACTTGCTAAACATAATTCACATTACCAAAGGAAAATTCCCCCAGATGAGTATTTTATTAATATGCCTATAACCAAATTAACCAATACCTAATGAAATTATTTTTAGGCTCAGTATGCAAGAATCAGAATAATGCTGCTTTAATATATTATATGACATACATAATACACTACAGTGAGACTAATACACAAATTTAAAATTCCAATAATATTTACTCAGCTTTCAAATACATACAATCTACATTTTTTCAGTAAGAAATGCAAAAATCTAAACTGAAAAAGTTGTTTAAGTTGATTCATTTTTTGTGCTTAAACTCTAATTCTATAGACAGATAATTTCTTGCTCCGTTACTAAGTTTCACTGTTCCTGTAATTGCTGTGTCGAGAATTCAGACTAACTTGTCAATCGAAGTTTCTTCGTTTCCAGTAACCTCCATCATTTTCCTCACTATCTGCAGCAGTATTTTCTGGATCTAGAACAATGTTTCCCAACATGGATTGTTAAGGAAGAAAATTCACAAAAATGGACTTGTCCAGAGTTTAAGGCAAAAAGAGACAATAAAATTTTCTTCATTTTTATTCCCAAAAATAAAGAATAATGTAAGTGATGTATACATTTAAAAGATTTTAAATTGTAGTGCATTTTTAATAGTTTGTAAAGAATTTTTGCTGTATACATGGACATTTAAAATGCTTTTAGAGGGCTAAATAGCTGACACATTACACTTTCCAGATGTTTTTCGCACATGTCTGCCAGCAATTTAGTTTTATTTTTTTACTATAGGAACAACAGCAGGTACATTATTCTTCCCATGAATGGCAACAGCAGCTGCTTTCAAGCTTTGTTTATAGTTAGCGATGGACAAAGTTTTTAATTGATCTTTTATTTACCGCTCTGAGTGAAATGAGTGGTGCTAACTAGAAAAAAATTTGTCAGTATTCGGAAGAATATTTAAAATTTGGTACACGATGAACATCACCTTTTTGTCTTTTATGCCAACAATACCTGACCAACGAATCAATGAAATGAGGTATCTTGAGGCACAATTGAAGGCAAAAGATAATGCTCATATTAATTCAGATTTGAATTATTTTCAAACTTTAAAGAAAAGTTTTGAAAAACAAATAACATTAAAGTCTATTTACTGCTCATAATACAATTGTTCATTGCAGGCTAGTCATCAAAATTCAATACTCATCGCTAAATCTGGGAAAAGTCATACTATAGGGTAAAATTTCATCAAAGCATCGATATCAGCATTTCTTAAAAAGTTTCTAGAAAACTTATTACAGACGTTAAAGCTAAGCCAATAAGTAACAATACTGTTAGCAGAAGAATAGATGAAATGACTGATAATATTGAAAGACAACTTGCCAAAAAACCAAAACATTTTCAGTACACATGGATGAATCAACTTTGAGAGACAGAGAGGACATACTAATACTTGCGTATGATATATTAATAAAGGTGATTTTACCGCAGAAATGTTGTTCTATAAATCATCAGAAAGCACTACTACTTCCAAAGATATTTATAATAAGCAAAAAATTTACTTAGATATCAAAAATATACCAATGAAAAATATAACATCTTGTGCTGCAAATACTCATATGATGGGGAAGAAAAGGAGTTGCTTACAATTGATGAAAGATGATTCCAAAAAATGCTTCTTTTACACAATGTTATTCATAGGAAAAACGTGGTAGCTAAAAACAGTTCATCTGATCTAAATGAAGTATTAAATTCAGTTATGAAGTGTATCGATGCTATTAAAGCCACTGTCAAATGTAAATGTCTCTTCAAGTTATTTTGTAAAGAACAAAATGAAAACTACATGAGACACACATTGAAAATGCATTGAAGATGGCTGTTGAAAGTTAAAATGATTGTTCCTTCAATAATGAGGTATCATATTTAGTGCTGAAGTGAAATTAAGAATTGGGACTTTCCACATGCTTTAATATGGGAGGGGGGACCAAATGCATACATGTAAAGCATACCAAAAAAAGTTTCTTAAAAAAAAGTTGTTGGTGGCTTTGATGTCCGGATTTTAAATCATTCCAGATATTGGACATGTGGATCTCGGGCTTTGTATCTGTATTATCAACTACAGACCATCATCAGAAGAGTACACATTCTTCTCAAGCAAAAGATCAGACCTGATACAAATATGGATAGATTACTAGCCTGATTCAATGTTTGCTTGTAAACTGAATAAAAATTCTTTTATATTTTAAAAAATATCTTTAAATGTTAAAGACAGATTTCTTAATATAACCCCAAAATACTAACCAGAAAAATGCTGTTTGACAAGTACAAAATATATTGTGTTAATCATACTACATTTTAGCTTACCACTTTTGCTTGTAAACTTTATCATAGCCACTTTTCTTACTCTAGATCCTTCATTTGCAGTCAACTTAAATTTACAATAGGGTTTCAAACTTGGTAAGGTAAATACCTAGAAGATGGTAAGATATATATTTATTAAAAAACTGTTAAATAAAATTTTGCATTAAAGCAGGTAAAGATCAAGCCTAAAAAAGTTATGGCAACTAATTTACCTTGCATATTTGCACTATGGCATTGAAAAGATATCTAAAACAAACTGTTCAGTTACATAAAATATTTGGGAAACCTTTGTTTTCATAAAAATGATGCATATTAGATAAAATGTTTAAAAGCTAATATTTAAAGTTCAGCTTGTAATTTACTACGAAAATACCATCAATAATTAAGTTATACAATTTTGTTTATTAATTTTCATTTGAAGTTATAAGTAATTAAATGCAACGTTTTTAACTGCACATCTGACATTTCATTCCATTTACTGTTTACAGATATTTTCAAGTTAATCTTGCAAGCATAATTTACCAAACAAAACTCATTTCTATACTAATATTGTACTTGCTATTTTTGAAATGAATAACTTACATGTGAAAACTGCATATAACGCAATACATAAAAATTTACACTTGTTCATTTAGTGCCGATATATATTGCAAATTTTTAATTACATTCAAAAATAAAACGTCACATAAAAGACACATTTACATTAAAATTATACACAATATACCAATGTTTTTACAAATTGGCTATTCTATTTCGTTAACATAAAATTAAAATTTTTATATTTTAAAAGCATATATGAAAATAACAAGTTAGTTTAGTTTGACAAGCTAAATTAAAAAGTGTCCTAAGTTTACATACAGTCTTACCTATTACTTAAAGGAATTTATCTAAAATATAAACATACAGCTCATAAAATATATATAAAGGTCAGCAATTAGTTACACATTAATATTCTGATCTGGTAAGAGCTTTCTGTACACCTAATTCTGTGATAACACTAGTGGGCCAAGGCCTGCAAGTGCCCCCAAATCTGCTTTCTTGACCTTGGGGCCCAGGATGCATCAGCATATGCCCTGGGCAAGTGGTCAGCTTGTAGCTGACTACTCGTTTTTGATTTATGTGATATAGATGTTACGAAGAAATCTATTTAAAAAAATTTGAATCTGTTTTTGGGGAAAAAAGTAATTTAAAATAGATTCAAAAGTAATCAAAATGGATATCTTCATTGAAATATAATAAACCAAAATTTTTTAAGATTACAACATTTCCTTTACTTTCTACAAGAAAGTAAAAATTTAATATCACTTACGGCTGGCCAAGATTTAAATATATACTACATCTATTATTAATTCACAAATTACAGTAAAACTACTTAAAATTTGATATTATATCACTATTCTTTCATCAATGAGATCAAAACAAACCTTAAACTGTTCTTCAGAGCAGATAATAACCCGATGATTTCCAGTCAGATCTGGAGCCTTTGCTCTATTACTTTCAACTTCAAAAGGCTCAGGCAAAGGATGGCCCAAGCCATCCAGGATTTGAATTGCTATTACTGGGGCTCTATGCTTCAACTGGATTTCCTTTCCTGTTTTTGAAGATGGAGAATTGCACAAGTTAAAATTATTGCTTTGAAAAATAAAAAATTATTCTTTAAAACAGAGCAAAAATGAACTTATTTTTTGAAGACAGATATAAGCCCTAAAAATTAAGAAATATTTTTAACATCTGATTTTAATACTATATAGCTGAATGAAAAAATTCCTTAAAAGATTCTGGCGTGTTTAAACAAACCAGATTTTTTTCAAACTTTTTTTAAAGAGAATAGATATAGCCTTTGGTCTAACTTACTAGTTTATAAATAGGGGGGGGAAACAGATATGAACTTTATTAATATGTCTAGCTCAATACCCAAAGGCAGCAACTACAAATATGCAGTTCCAAAAAGAAAAAACAAGCATAGAATACCGATAAGTATGGAGCCGATAAGTATTCAGCTCAAAAATAATTTGTAAAACACCATTTTCATTATAAAAGCATGCCTAACAAAAATACATTAAATATGTAAAAGAATCTTATTTACAAACCATTTTAAATTTTTTACATGGTCAACCACTTCTACTTACAAGGTGCTTATGTAGAAAGAGCTATATTTCGTAAAATTCCACTATTTTATTAGTTTTTTTTCACCAATAAATCATATACAAAACTTAGAACACCATTCCTGTATTTTCTAGCATATCGAATGATTTTACATACCACAAGAACAGCAATTTATATATATCATTTTCTTAAAATTAAACTTCTATGGATACTTTATAATTCGTATAAATGGTTTCTAAGCTTAAAATCTGCTTCACTGAAAGGAAGTTTTCAAAATTTCAAATGATGCAGAGTAAACTGAAAAATTTAAGATCTGGACAAAGTAAGCTTCCATACTTATTCAGATCCCCCAAAGATATATATAAATTAAGAACTAGCAAGTGAACTAGAATGGAATGTAATGAATACGTAACATAGGCTATAAATCCGCAGCAAGTTTATTTCCTTAGACCTTTTTCTAATAATCAAAACTGGCCAGTTATCAAGCATGATATTAAATTCAGCTTATGTCATAACAAAGTTTTAATAACAGACTAATGTTAATTATAATTTATGTTAATACTGACTTATCTATGTTGATAAACTACATTAATATCAACCTTCATAAAAACATGAAAAAATTTGATTTAAAAAGCAAAAGCAAAATTGGATTCAGGCAAAAATTCATTTTTGATAAAACAAACTATTGTATGGCACATACAGATGCTTCTAATACTATTATGTTAATTACAATAACGCTACAAAAATTTGAAATTGTACATTGTATACAGCATTAAAAATTCAATTTATTAACTTCTTGAGCAAAATGATCTAATTATGATCTAAAGGGTATCAAAATTTACAAAAAAAAAATCAATCCTTTAAAATTAATCATAGTCGATTTAATATAGTGAAAACAATAATATGTACTGGTCTCTCACAAGCCACGATCCAAAAGGTCCATGTCAGACAGTAAAGCTGTTATTAGGCACGAGATGACATGCTTTGATATTACAAATTTTATTATGATAACAATATATTACAAATTTATAATTTGTTCAAAAAAATTTGAACATTTAAAAACCTACAAGCTTCAAAATTTCTTTTTAAGGTTGTACATTTTTAAATGTTAAGAACTGGAAACATAATTTTGGATATTTAAATTTTACCCCAAAAAAAAATTCGCAGGTAGTGAATATCTGAAGTTTTTACAGCTCTTAAATTACTCAATTTCTTAATCATATAACATGTCAAATGCCAACATTCTGGAACATAGCTGTCTAACTAGGTCACATGAATAATAAATTGCCAGCTGGTAAAAAATTCTATCACATATACAGTCAAAATTCTTTAATCTGGACTCATCAGGACTTCGACGATTCCGGATTATAGATCATCAGCTTAAATCTGGTAGGATGGCATGCTAAAATTATGAAACCGTAATTTATGAAATAAAGAACAATTATGATCTAAAGGGTATCAAAATTTACAAAAAAGCTTAATATTTACTTGCTTACTTTATTAAACATTTCTTTCAATGTAAGTTGTTTACGTTCCTTCGTTTTATGTGATAATACTTTCTCTTTAATTCTATAAACAGACATAATTTCTTGTTCAGTTACAAAGTTCCGCTGTTCAAATACTATAATTGCTGTGTTGAGAATACCGACTAATTTGTCAATCGAAATTTTTTCGTTTTCAATAACCTCTGTGTCATTTTCTTCACTATCGGAAGCGAATTACAATGACGAGGAGTTTGATTTAAATCATATCAAAGATGGAGTACATCGAGATGAAATACTAAATTTAGTAAGGAATTATAAGCCAAATAAAATAAAAACATCTGCCCTGAAGATAAGGATAGTGCTGACACATCAACTTCCAGTTCATCGCATGCCGCAACGCGCTTTTAAAATCTTAATCAGCAAAAATGCCCCATAAATCTAATTTATCTCTCTTCAGACTTTATAAAATATTTGCTTACCCTGGAAGCCTTTAGCGATTATAATCATTCTTTCTTAAATAATGAAAACCTTCTACAAATTTGCAAAATATAAATGAGGTATTTCACATTTGTTTACAGATTATCAGAAAATAAGTTTAATGCTAGGCAAAGAGTTAATTTTCTATTAACATTTACTTAAGTATCTGTAGTTAAAACTTATAGCTAGATTGATTATAAGCAACTTTATGAATTATACCTAGCTGACAAGTCACAGGCTCTGTTTCTCTGTTTTCCTTTGGTAGAGATATTGTGAAAACAAAAATTGCACCAGCATTTGTTCCAGCCCATAAAGTTGATGACGTTGTAGCATCTGAAATGAAAATTAAATTCCATATCTAACAAGAAAATTCTAGAATATCTTTCAGAATATATAACGCATTTTGAACAAAATATATACACCCTAGAAATAAAGAATAAATTATAAACTTGTTACTATTGTAAACGTTCAAGAAAGCAATGAATTTAAATTCAATTTTTATTTTTTTAATATTTAACATTTTCAGTGTGATTTGCACATACCTTCAAATAGTCTAAAGAAATATCAGAAAATTTTTGGTCAAAATTACTATTCCTCTGCATATTTTCCATACTTTTTTCCAACCTCTTTAATAAATAAATAATCAAGATGTGGAAAATAGACTTTGGGGGGGGGCAGATAGTCTTATAAGACTGATTACGATGCTACTAGTCAATCTAATTTATAAAGTTAACACCATGAAGAAGAGATATTGAAGTCCTATTTACTGGAAAATAATATAAAATGCAATGGTGAAATTATTAAAATTATACTTTTATTCCACTTCCAGTGCATAAAGAAATTAGTACAACTTGCAATTACTACAGCAACATTTGTCGACAATTAAGGAGACAATGTAGTTAGAATTTGCCAGTTTATGCTGCTTCCAGACGTTGCTAAACTCCATCTGGCATGCCCATGGATGCTGTCTCTAATCCCATTTATTTATCAATTATTAACCAGGATGTGTTCAATGAATGGCATATCAAGGGACTGGCAAGCCAAATCAGAAGTGCAACCCAGCTGGCACTAAGAAATTGTTGAATGCTATGTGCGGACATACATTGTCTAGATTAGGGGTCTTCAACCCGAGGCCCGTGGACCACAAGTTGTCCCACATTTGAATATGAAGAAAAATTGAAGATTTTAAAGAAATTCTGATTTCAAGAAAAATTTCTTTGTCAGCTTTTTGTCGTAAAAAAATTTTTTCCCTCTTATTCTTGATATTTAAAACATTTTATTGACATGTCTGATATTATTCGAGATAAGATTTTCTGAAAATGATGAATTTTTCAAAAATTTCACTTTATCTTACGTAATTTTAAAAATAAAAAATTTGACTACACATAAAATCTTGATTCTATAAAAAGGGCAGATGCTTTATCTCTAACAGGTTTGCAACAGATGTCAATCTTTCATCAATACTTTGCCAAAGGCGACTTTGAGCGTACCGAGAGTGATATACATAGAGGGGAGAAGGAATAAATTAACAGAATTACTATAGAGAGGGAATAAATTAACCCAATTCTATTTTTCCTAATGCTGCAATCAGCTGTCAAAGGGAACAGTGATCTTAAACATCCTGTTTCATTTGGTGATAAACATATTGTTTCATTTTTCTTTTCTTCTGACACTAGTTGTTACTTTTTTTTCTTCCGACACCAGTTCGTACGGGGTTCGTGTGGATTTGGAGTGAATAATGACGACACTTGATGAAGTATCAAAACACACTTTATTGGCCAGTATTGTCAGGACAGCTCCAAAACATGTTTTACGGTCGTCGATGAACTACTATAAGCAAGCTGACATGATCACACAGCCTTCAGGTTATCATCCTATCCGCAAATGTCAAACAGAATATGCTGATGTTGTTTGTTACATGACAAACCTTATTATACCAAGGTCTGTCACTGTGACATGAATCAATGCCATGCATGCGAGATTCCTGTGCTGTTGTTTAGAGGTGTAATAAAGCTGCAGCAATCATTCCTATCATCAGTCTCCCCACAACTATCGATTTCACCTTTGCATTATTAAGTCTTGACTTCATTTAATATGAATGATAATTCCTCAGAAAGATAACCTACAAACTTTGATGAAGCAGCATGGCATACAAAGCTTCCTATGTAAAAGAGCAATGGAAAAATGCATAATTCCAGCAGCGCAAATAACCTACTGCTCTCTTTATAGTGCTAACTGATGTACATAATTTGCAAATGCACTGCAATGTTAATCATTTGCATGCTGAATCGAGGTTTACAGATAATACAAAGTTTTTTTTTTTTTTTTCCTTCAAGCTGTTACATATCGGAAGGCCAATACTGTATAATGTCAAAAAACTACATTAACAATAACAGCAAAAATATATTCTGCTAATCTTTCCATAGACTGCAAAACAAACTTCACGGGATACACGAAGCCAATTAGCCACTTTTGGAGTAATTATGATTAATATTCAAACATGCATAATAAACTTACTATTTATTATAAAGGTTTGTGCTAGGTATAGGCAGCGAACCATGGAGCCCATGCTATCCTCTGCCGAACGAGCTTCTACTTGTCTCTCTACTGGTTTTGTTTCTAAGATAGGTGACGCAGCAGACTCCACCTCAGCTGAGGTTTCTTTCGGGGGGCTGAAAGAAATAAAAACACTGATTTTAGATTTATATTTAATGAATTATTGAAAAATCCATTTCAAATGCAACAAAAACATACAAAATCATATTAGAATCGATATTTTAAATTACTTAACTATTAAATAGTATACAGATATTTATAAAAAGTTTCAATTATGGAATTTAATAAAAACCATGTTTTTAACTTTATTAAATTTGCAGGGCATGTTCAAAACAGATTAAAGAACTTCAAAAATAGATTAAATATTGCAACTTATACATGCAGATTGATTATACATACTTACAATATAATTCATGCTTAAAAAGCAATCTGTTTATACATGCAAATTTAATACTTTCTGTACCTACCACATAAATCCTTAGCTTAAGACCTTAAACTACAGATGCACAGGAGAAACTCAAAGGGAGAAGCTAAGAAAACAGTCAAGAGTAAAGTGAAAATGCATAGAAAATTTAAAAGCAGATAAAGAGTGATATTTAACATTGAATCAGTAAGTGAAAAAGAAATGTAAAAATCAATTTGCAAAATTAAGCCTTATGTCTTCAGCCAAATGTGTGCATCATATATTAAAATGCCCATAGTATTAAGACTTCTTAATATCTAATAATGAGAAACAATTACATTTTCTGCCAAAAATGAATAAAAAACACAGAATATTTTCAATATATATTAAATATCAATTTTAAATATGGACAAATTTTGAAGTCTCTACAAAATGTTCAAAATAATTCATAATATTTAGCATCAAATTTACATATCCAGTTTAAAACTATATACACACATTAAGATAAAATATGCAACTCAAAATTATTAATTTTAATTTGGCAATAGTTCTTTTTTATTCTACATTTTAATTTTATTATAAACAATTTAGAACAGAAAGAGGAAATAAGTTTTCTACACTGTATTATTCCAATTCATGCTTTCTTACATAATCCTCCTGCATTGCAACAGCTCATATCCAGACTCAGATTTAGAATTTAAAGATAGAAATCTTGTTTATAAATACCACTGCTATTTTTGCAGAGGACATTTTCATCTTCACTGGTACTACGATGTACCGCCTTTCAGCTCTGCTTCATTCATTGTCTAAGATGTGAGCTATATACACGATCATAAATGACTTGCTCTATTATGAAAATAAAAATATTTGTCTTATATCTACAACATCTGCAGGTTCCTTCGCCAACACATTCCACCTGTATGCCAGCCACACCAATAACCATCTCAACCATGATTAAAAATAATTCGAGTTCTCTCACACATCCTAAATTTAATACAATTAATAAAGATAATTATCCATAGGAAAAGTGAAAACAGAATAATTCTTCTCTCGCACATCCTAAATTTAATACAATTAACAAAGATAACTAACTATCCATAGGAAAAAGTGAAAACATAATAATTCAGTATTTCTTTCAGATAATTTTGAATTTATAAACAACTAATTTTAATGTTTCATTAGCCCAAAAGGGCTATTAATTTTAAAACGGCATTTTGCGTCGATTCGCTTTTCAAACTGTTGCCACCAAATAATTATCACAATGTATTATATTTAAAAAAATAATGAAGAAGCTGGATGAATGTTTCTCGCATTGTGAAAAAACAGTACCTAGAGCCATCAAAGTTTGAATAACTTACTGAAATGGGCACTTGGAAGACCGAATTTAGAATTTGTTTTATGACCCATTTCAAATTTTGTAAATGTTTAACACGTTCACGCCGAGGCCAATTTTTATGTTCTTCGCTGTGAGGCGGCACTCGAATTTTTGCCATGCTTCATCTGGCGGTGCGCGATTATTACCTGTTCAGACCTGTATACGAGTTGTGCGTTTGCTAATAGTATAGGGAGTACTTATTTTGCAAGTTGTGTAACTCGTGGGTTTTTTTTTCATCTTAACATCAGATTTCTGCCAATAAGTATAACTAGAAAGGCAGAATGTTTTAATTTTTGCCTATAAATAATAGATAACAGGGATATGGAAATAAGTGATTCGTCTGATGAATCTATCAATAGAAGCAATCTTATAACACAAGCGAACGCGTACCACCTGTGGTACGCGTCGCCCGATAAGACAGACTAGTGCAGGCACACCGGTGGTGCGTGCCGCCCGACGAGACACACAAGTGCGGGCCACCAGTGGCCCGCGCCGGCGGGAACGTGTTAAGGAATTTTTGGTTAACAAACTCAAAGATTTCACTGCCAACACTGTATGGGGGGGGGAAACTATCTTGGGCATAATAAAATCTGAAAGCTTTCAGTTTTCTTTAGTTTTGATTTATTTGTAATGATTTTTTATTTTTTTTTATGCTCGAGTTAAAAAATTTGTTGATTATTGATAAAACTAAATGCAGATCAAAGACCTTGATGTTCCAGTAAAAATTTGAAATTGTTTCTCTAGATAAATTTACTTGTCTAGTACTTGATCCGACACAGGATCTTCCCGTTCATAAGTATTTTACATTTTTTGAAAAACTATATTGTACAAAAGCTATTTCTGAGAAAACAATTTAGTTTTATTTCCAGATCTTAAAGGGTGAGGCCTTGTCATTTTATATCTCTGAATCTGTTGAAACCGATGATTAGAATTATCAGAAGAAAATTTTTTAACTTTTCTAATTCAAAACATGTTCAACCTTTGATCATTCTTTGTTATGAATAACATATCTAAAGATATTCATTCATAAGTAGTTCCATCAAAAATTAAAGTTCTGTTCTGCACTACACTTAAGAGAAAACATTTTTATAGACTACCACAAAGTTTGCCAGAGCAGCATCACATGTTACCATCTGTTCAAGTATAAACTCGCCCCAGAATTAGATTTCCCTAGCAAAAAAATCAGTTTTCAACTTCATCTCAAGATAAAGAAAGCACCAGTAATGTAGGCAGATTTACTGTTCCTAGGCAGAATCCTCATCCAAATTTTAATTATCTAAGATATTCAAGAGCTTCCTAACTTAAATATTGTGTGCCTCAAAATAAGTTCTGGAGAAATGTTCAGTCACCTGTGTTGAAATATCCAAATTCAGAATACCCACTAAAGCGTTTGCTTTTATTTTCTTCACTTTTCTTCCTACATTCCGATGCTCTGTGCCCATAGATATTGCAGAAGTTGCATCTGTAGTTAACTGGATACTGTCTTCGGTTTGCAGACAAATCTGGTTTCGGTTTAGGAACCGGTAGTTGATTATACTTCCGATCTTTTGAGTAGAAAATAGAACACATCTTGTGGTTCCAGAACATATGAATTTTTATTTTTACATGCATTAGCTTCTTCCAACAGTTTAATTTTCAGCATTTCTGGAGACAGCATTTTATCACGAGATTCAATAGCGATTCGAAAGCTTTCATAAGAGTCCGGTATGCTATATATTGTAAGCAAATCATCCACAATGTTTATTTTCATTTCTTTCAGTTTGTCTACAAGAATGAAAAAATCATTTAGATGATCAGTCATTTGTTTAAAATCACTCATTTTTGTATTAAATTTTTTTTTTTTTTTTAGAATTGTGACATTTCTAGCTGATATTTTTGATTCATAAACAGAATGCAAATTACTCCATAGTTCACGAGATGTTTTACTTGTGGAAGTTCACTGGGTGAGATGGATAGGATTATATCTGCTCGTACTTTTTTGGTCCATAGTTTTCCCATTTAGCAAATCCTTCATCACCAGGTTCTAGTTTTGGAATTTTTCCAGTTACATAGTCCCAATGATCATTTTTAATCAGTATTGCTTCCACTCGCAACTTCCACATGTCAAAGTTGTCCTTGTTTAGCTTTTCAATTGAAACTGTATTTGTCATCGTCATTTTCATTTCAGTCGATGCAGCTTGGCTTGCTGAAAAAATTTAACACAGGTGGTTGGGCTGCATAGTTATGCACTGTCTGGTCCCATAACCAATGAAGAATAAAATGACATCTTCCATATACATGGCAAATATTCACTTCTGCTATGAAGACATTGAACAACAGAGTAGAAACATGAATGACACAGTAGAAACATAGTAAGATACATTATTATACAGCAGTTAGCACTTCTCACTTACATTCGATACTCATAATTGACGTTGGCTAACTACAAAGAAAAGTACTGCGCAGCAGAGAACTTGCTTATCATTCGCATGTGCTAGGGAAATCAACGGTAGTTGCCAACAATGCTCGTCAATCGGATTGAATTTAGCACATGCAGCATATTTTTCAGGTCCCGGTGGAAAACACTTTTTATTATCAACTATATGAAAACATCTTAAAATATTTTGAAATCTGTTCCTTGGGAAGACCTTTTTAAACCAAGGTACAACTCTAGAACTTTCAGTCCAATAAGAATATATTGTTGCCTTATTTATTATCCCCATTTCCAATAATACGCCTACAAATGCCTTCAAATCCAGGATAGTGACTGGACACCTATTTACCATTCTAGACTTATCAGTTTTTGCAGATTTTGATAATTCTTCTATATATCTGTTTGTTTCCTCAACCATCACTGCCCTAAGAGAATTAGAGAAAAGATTAAAATATTACTCAATTTGGCTCTAAACTGTATTGTGGTCCCGAGTTTTCAATAAATTTGAATGAATTGTCTTGGTCAATATATTCATTTTCCATAATCATAACATATTTCAAAATGTCACCAGTATTATGAATATTAATATCAGAATCATCGATGACATTAATCCTTTTAAAAATAACATCACTAGCACCGCTGCTGTTAATTCGAATCCTCTGTTGTACTACTCATTGCATTTTTACAAGCCAGTGAATTAGTGAAAGGCACCAAATAAAAATAAAAATAAAATTATACTGTAGACTACATTAAAAATTAGTGAAAGTTTTACTGTACATACCTTTTTTATATGCAATAAAATATTTAAATAATATTTTTATATTATTTAAATTTTTATATTTTTTAAATTTTTATTATTTTTTAAATTTTTATATTATATTTTTATTTATATTATTTAAAGACACTGATATCTGTACTTATGCTCAGAAAGATGGCAGAACAAAACTGAATTGAAAGAATTACGACTTGCCATATAAGAGCAGAAAACAGCACAATAGCGCTCCTTGTCATTTTTTAATCGAAGAGAATTAGACAAGTGCTTTCGCGTCGCTTACCATTTCTGGAGAGGGAATAAGACAAGCGAAAAAGCTCTTCTTGGCACTTCTGGAGAGTAAATAAGACAAGCAAAAAAGCACTCCTAGGCACTTTTGAAGCGGGGATAAGACAAGCGAAAAAGCACTCTTTGGCACTTTTGGATGGGAAAACAGCAAAGACGCATGGCGATCAAACAGTCAAGTTGTATTAATGATTTTGAAACTCTTAAGAGTTGCTTCCATTTCTTTTGAAAATGACACTCCAAGGAAGCTATTTTCATTTGCATGTCTCCCTGTTACTAAATCAAACTGTCATGCAAAATTGGAAGATTAAGTAATGATATGATATTATGTTGCAAATTCACATTTAAATTATTTATCATTGTCTTCACCTTATGTGTTACATGTGTGTACTTCAACTTGTGTGTTTTATCAGACTTATTAACTTTACTGAGAAGGACAGAATGTTTTTGTCATCAACAAGTTTTTTTAAGTTTTTAAGTGACAGGAGAGTAGGTAGTGGCTGCTATTCGAATACAGTTGTCCAAGTGTTCATCAGCGAGTCTGTTTCTGTACTTATTTTTAATAAATTTCACACTGGAAAAAGAAATCTAACACAGATATATAGAGCTGAATATTGCCATCACTTTGAGAACAACATGGAGAAAAACTAGATATTTTCCTTCAGGAACAAGAGGTCAAATATTTTCAGAGCTTAAAGAAAGCGATTTTGCAGATAAATCATCTTAAAAATCAATCAGTTCCAAGTCTACTGCCTCACGGTCTTCTTAAAAATCAAAATGTTCCATAACACAAATAGAGAACTCTTCAACATTAATCTTTATACAAGGTGATTTGAGAAACAACTGAAATCCTTTTGAAATCTTGGAAGCGTTTGTTGAATTCATTACTTTCTGCGTGAATACACTTGCATAGCACGATAAACAGACATATTTGTCCTTTACCTTGGTAAAGAAGTATTTGTTTCCCCATTCAGAATGAAAGTGAATTTTTTTTCTTAAACACACCATTGTTATTACAGACCTAGCTTGGTACAAATGTGTAAATCAAACTACCCAAGTTAGCAAATGTCCAATATACAGATGAAAAACAATGTGCACAACTTCACGCATATACCATAAACTACAAGATGAGGCTCGCAATGGCAGTTGTGCGGAAATGACCAGCAGTTAGTGTCAGCTCAGTGGAGAAATCAAGATTAGCCAACCAGACCTTAAATGAAAATGTCCCTGCAAGCTACTTCAGCGGTTACTGGTTTTAATTCTAGATCTGTGACTGGGTACAAACAGTCACAATGCAGGAGGATTACATAAACAAGCATGAAATGAAAAGATGCAGTCCAGAAAAATTATTATAAACAATTTAAAACAAAGATGAAACAGCCAAATTCAAATGGGAAATAAAATGGACTATTACCAAGTTAATAATTTTGAGTAACATTTTATATTCTTACATATATATTATTTATATATAAGAGAAGGCTACTTTTACAAAGGATTTTGAAACATGGATAGTGTATTATGGGAAAACATTACATAAATAATGAAAATTAAAATTACCAATGGGAAAAATAAATTGTAGAAATCAAAGTTCAACAATTTATCAAATTTACCACATGACAGCAGTTTGCCAAAATTTTTTTTCAGGATATAATTTCTATACTTGTTTGAAAAAGGATCGATATCCAAAATGATCAAAAATAACTTTATAGTAACCACAGGAAAAAAGGAAATCCTTCCACTTTGACATTCTAAATTAAACCCATTTAAAACTAAAGTAATATGTGCATTAAAGCAAAAATATTTAATTTTTATTTTAATGTATATATTACTTTAGTTCTGAAAATTGTTAAGCACAGAGTTTCTACTGTGATACAGAAACTTGAAAACTTGACAAAATAAAATTGAAACTTCAGGTAGTTAACCTGTTTATGGATGATATATAAATTTACATAATACTGAAACGTCACTAGAGCAAAACATTTAAGATGAAAAATAAATAAAAAGGAAAAGAGGCACATGCAAACAAAATGTGGAAAGATACTATTGTATTAAAGTTATCATTACATAGAAAATTTATCACTTGTTATCCAGTCCACAAGAACCAATGCCTTATTAAAAGTGCATCTAATTTGTTATAAAAAATACAGTTGATAAGTAAAGTGTTCCACCTTCATTATTAAATATCAACTTGCTCTGCTACTAACTAAAAATAAAAAATGCTCCTTTTGTACATAAACTCTTACTGAAAAAGTTCTAATTAAAAAGAACCTTTAATTTAAATATAAATATGAATTTAGCATATTAATTTAGAATATGATTATATTTTAGAATATGAATTTTAGCAAGATATCAACAGCCTACATTTAAAATAAAGTAACTTTTAATCAAAGCTTAAGGTCTGATATAACCTGCGCCATTACAAAAGTGAAAATGAACATACATTTGATTGCATTTTCACAATTATACAACAAAAATATTTAACTTATTTTAAAAAATTGAAACTATATAAAAAATACCTTTTAACTTCTTCTACGGGAGACCTGGTGGGAGTTTTATCTCGTTTACCACGTTGAGAACGACCTTTACGTAATCTTCGAAATGACTGCCTTAAAGACTTTTTGAATGATTTTTTCCTGGACATTGCTATGTCCCCAACAGCCAAAAGATCTACAGAAAATTTAGAATATATATTTTTTTAATAAATTACAAATCTTTGCATCTAAATGAGAAACACATTTAAATTTTTAAAAAGAAATTATCAACAAACTAAATAGGCCTCAACATGATCTACAACTTTTTTTTTTTACTGATTAAAAATCAAATGCACGGGTCATTTTGACACGAAGACTAATAATATACAAAATTAAAATATGTTTATAATCTAAACCAAAAAGTATGGCTGTGTTGAAATATACTCAAACATCCTAATATTACTGTATTTCATAAATAATTTCCAATATTTAAAAAGTTGACTGCATTATCTAATTCTAACTAAGCAAATTAAATTAACCCTTACATATGAAAGATGATACCCCCAAAGCAATCTTAACAGCTTCTAGGGAAGAAAATTAACCTTTCAAAGAAAAGACAATATACCCAAACGTACTTGTCTTATTCAAGATTCACAGTCAGAACCAAGAAAATCCAGCTATATCCCCTTCGACACTGGCCTCGATAATAAATATATTTTTAATTTAGCATTTTGACCTTAGTGATGAATCAACAAGCAAGTAGCATCATTGATAAAAAGCTTTTCTCGCGCATATATAACCATGGAAAAAACTGTATTTATAGAAAATAATTTATACATTTTAATTAACACTAGAAACATCAAGCAATCATAGTTGACAATTTCCAGTTTTTGAGCATCCGTCAAATTTATTTCCATTATTTTGAATGCAGAAAACATTTTCTCAGAGTTGATGTTTATTTACATCAATATACATTTTGTCAATTTCGCAACTGATTTTTGTTATTAATAGTCTAACTCATGAGAAATAAATGATTGGTGTTTGATTTTTTTTAGGAAGGGCAATTTATTGATAATTTTCTTGCAACTCTTTGAAGTCTGCATTGTATTAAATTTATAAATTCAAGCTATTCGAAGCAACAGGACTCTGTGGATTTTACAAGAAATCCTGTAAGATAGCAAGTAATGAAAACAATGCCATGGGCCAATGGTTTACAGAAACAAAATTTTACCCATAAAATCAGCAATTTAATTTCCAAAAGCTCATCACCTAAAATTAGCTTATGATGAAAGAGTGCATTCTGCAGGAGAAAAATCTAAAAAGTAGATCTTGCTGGAATTCTATTAAGAGAGAGAATCTATAATAGTCCTATTTAAGTTCTCTTGGTACTTTGTTTAAAGAATTGGTATAGATATCCATTCAGGGAAATGCACCAAAATTCACAAATAACATAATCCCCAGTTTTCAGCTTAATCCCTGTTGATTCATGAAAACTTAAGACTACAAATCAGTCTGTGTTTTAGCCAAAAAAAAAAAAAAAAAAAGGTACAACACTGAAGCTTATGAAATAGGGGAAAAAGTCCACCCGTTTAAGAAATAAACAACAGAAAGCAATGCTCAAATGAGATAGTGTTTAGTGATTGCCGATTGCCATGCTTAAGACCTTGGGTTTGAATGCCTGAGAAAGCATGTTCATGGAATATATTACAGCAGCATGGAGACATTCAAAATACACTGACTACCAATAAGTATTTGGACACCTATGGAAATGACGATATCAGCGGTCCCAAGGTACGTCATGGACTCCGCAGGTATATATCGTGTAGGAAACAGCATCGGCTTTAGTTGCATGCAAGATGCCTCGCAGTTCGAAGCTCTCCGATTTCGAGAAAGGTATAATTATTGGGTATCACAAATGTGGCAGAGCCTTAAGGGACATATCTGGCGATCTGAAATACCCAATATCGACAGTGGCCTATGCGATTAAGAAGTGGAAAGTGAGCGGTGATTGTCGGAATGTGCCCCGAGTCGGCAAACCAACGAAACTGGACGATAGAGACCGACGAGTGCTCTCAGAGAAATTCGGAAGAACCGTACCTAACCGATAGCCCTCATCCGCGAGGAACTAAAACAGGCATCCGGGAGTATTGTTTCAATGAATACCATCCGTAAGGAAGCAGATCTGCTTGGTTTTCATGGTTGTGCTGCTGCCCATAAGCCTTTGATCACAAAGTCCAATCGCGCTGCTCGGTTAATGTGGTGCAAAGCACATCGAAATTGGACCGTAGATCAGTGGAAACGGGTTCTTTGGAGTGACGAATCAAGGTTCATCCTTTACCGTTCGGATGGCAGGGTCTGGGTCTGGCGTTTACCTGGAGAACGTCTCCTGCCAGAATGCATTGTGCCAACAGTCAAGTTCGGCGGAGGTGGAATTAGGGTCTGGGGGTGTTTCTCCTGGTATGGGCTGGGACCCTTGGTCCCCATTCATGGTAAGCTCAACTCCGATGCCTACTGCACTATTTTGGATGACAAGGTGCTTCCTATGTTGTGGCAGTTTTACGGGTTGGACCAATGTTACTTTCAGGACGACAATGCCAGTTGTCATGTTTTGACGTTAACCAAGGCTTGGTATGGTGCCAATGGAGTTCATCGAATGGACTGGCCTGCCCAGAGTCCAGACCTGAACCCTATCGAGAACCTCTGGGATGAGTTGCATCACCGAATTCAGGGGTGCAATACCCGTGCAAAATCTGTGAAGGAACTTCTATGTCTTCTCCAAGCCGAGTGGAAGAAAATACCACTAGCTGTCATACATGCAAGTATGCCCCGGAGGGTCCACGCTGTAATTACCTCTCGTGGAGGCTCTACCAACTATTGATTTTGAATAAAGTTAGTTTTTCTTTTCTATCACAGGTGTCAAAATACTTATTGGTAGTCAGTGTATAAGGTGAGCTGAAAGTCTTAGGACCTCCTGAAATGTTGTCTTTCAAAGCTGGGATGGAAGAGAGCAGTCATACATCATGTTATATGGTGTTCAAGGCTATGCCAATGACAAACACTATCTTGAGGTATTTTTCATGATGAGAATCGTGGGCTTGCTCTGAGTAAGTCAAGACAAGTGAGCTTAGCAACAACAAAGTAGAAAGCAAACTGAATTCATAACATAGTGTGCAAGAATCGCCAATTCAAATACAAAGAAAGCTGAGTTATATTCGACATTTCTACTCTGGACTGAGTTCGTAATAAACGGCTAAGGATATTTTAATTTCCGAATAGAACTGCAAAAAATCTTTTGTTAAATGTATCAAACATGTTTAAGTATACTGCGGATCCCATTCAGAACTAAAAGTTACAGCTTTACAGTATACATGTTGCTACATTTTTAGAAATCTGTTGAAATAACATTTTATATAATGTAAAGAAATGCTACACTTTAAAATCATTTTATAAGGCAACATTATATAAGAATATGCAGAAAAATGTTCTGTTTAAATCTTTCAGTCACTGATTGTTTTTAGTCAAAATTTGCTGGAAAAATTAACAAATACTGAAGATTATTTCAATGAAAAATGCTAGTTCAGCAACTTTAAAAAAGATATTTATTTCAGCAGCAGGTAAAAAAATGACCAACTGATCTTTTGAGGTATGCATATTTTCAGAACGCCCAATGATAAATGATCACAAAATAGGCTTTACCCTTGTTACATTGCTCAGACTTGTCACAAATCAATAAGCTTAGCTTGTATCTTATAGATTGAGATGTCTATTAAATTTTTTCCTGGTAATACTTAATATTTCACATTACTGCATTAAAGCCATAAACAGTTATCACGGCATGCATATGCATGTAATTACAGTAACGGATCATGATTAAACTCCACGAAGATCTTGCAAAAAGATAACTCATTTCAATGAATGGCATTATACTATAAAACAAATATTACTAACATAAGTAAAATATATATTAAACAGGTTTACAGCTCTGCTTATAATGCAAAGTGTGTAAGAAAATTATTGGTATGTAACAATAATATAATAAAGCTTGAATAGTAGATATGTTAAAAACTTCATATTGCTAATTATACTTTAATTTCTTCAGGAAGTATCTGAATTTTTCCTAGTATAATTCTTCATGAAACCTCAAAATTTATAGTTAATAAAGTGCTTTTACAAAACACAGGATGCGCTGTTTCTGATTAAAATGGTGAAATAATTACTGGAATAATGCCAATTATTGGAAATTAGAAACTGACAGAATTTACAAGTACTTACCATTTGGATTTAAAGTACATTTAGAAATGACAGGCTTCTTCTGAATATAATCAAAAAGAGCAAATCCATGGGCAGTGCCAGCAGACAATCTGAAGAAGTTAAAAATTCACAAAGTTAAAAATCTAAAGAAGTTCAAATTCGCAGCTATTTTCCCAAAAATATTCAAAAGAAAAATTAAGCAACTGAATAATATGAAACGGGGGAAATCTGAAATAAGGAATTTGACTTAAAAGGGAAAGGAATTTTTGAATAATATAAATAGTTTATTAAATTCAATTAAACAGTAATATCTACAAAGTAGAAATTTTAACTACAAAAGCTTATCTGGAAAACTTTAGAGGCAATACGCATGTTAAAATACGTCATTGCTACTAGACAAATGATCTTTTTTTACAGCTGATTAATATTACCAACCATATAATTTATAAATGCTTCTAGAGAACAGAAGTACTAATTATTATAAGATCACCTAATGAAAACAGGAGAATTTCGAGGAAATAGATTTGCATTAATTATTATTTCATACCAGAATAAAATTATGTGCCGTTAGATCAGACATGACAAATCTAAAGAGGAATTTGTGCAGCATCTACACTGGCTATCATAAATTAAGGAAAAATTGCAAAAATAGCGATAACTCCCTCAAAAATTAGCCAAACCGTGTAAAATTTGAATATGTTGCCAAGTGAGAGTAGCCGAGTAAAACTGAAATATGCAAATTAGTGGCGCTGCACTCAAAATATGTCATCTGCAAAGAGAATAAAAGTCCATGTTTGAGAGCAAGCTCACATATTTCACTGTGATAGTGACATCAGAAATCTGAGATAGGCAATTCGTAACAACAATCTCCAGGCATCATTTGCCTGCAGAACTACGATGGAGAGCCATTGGGAGACTAGAGGCAGGATAAAGTCAAACAGAAGTGGCCAGATGGCTAAATGAGAGTCCTTTTGTGGTTCATAGACTTTGGAGGCGATTTCAAACCACAGATTCGGCCTCTAGGATGTTCAGCCAAGGAAGACCAACTGCTACAACGAGCGCTGATGACCGATATTTGACATTATGTGCACACAGTAATAGAATCGCTACTCTGACTCTTCTTAGATCCTCCTTCCCTTTAGCCACCAGAAAGTTAGTGTCAACATCAATTGTGCGTAAAAGGCTTCACGAAGGTGGTCTGTATGCGAGATGACCAGCCATTTCCATGCCGCTCATGTCACGGCATAGGAGGGACCGTTTGCAGTAGACACAACATGTCCACTGGACGCTTGATCAGTGGAAGGCTGTTCTCTTTACGGATGAGTCCAGGTTTAATCAAGAAAGCGATAGTAGGATATGGAGAGAACCTGGAACCCATTATCATCCGTCAAACATCCATTAAAGAAATGCATACAGAAGATGCAGTGTGTGTGTGGGGTGGCATCTCTTTGGGTGGACATACAGACCTCTATGTCTTTTCAATGGAAACCGTGAATGCTCCGTTATAGAGATGGCATCCTTGATGCTTATGTGCACCCATGTGCCGGGGCAATAGGTGATGCTTTCCTGTTGGTTGGTTGGTAACGGAGGACGGGGACGCCTGATGTCTAACAGAGGTAAACAGGCATGTGTCCCGCGCCCTCCACTAACCAGGAACAACTCCCTGGGGACTCAAGAGGCCACCTCGAGAGCTTTTTAGGATGTTAACAAGATCATTTACATGGCCATACAAGGGCAGATTGCATTCGTTTTACCATTTTGACATTTGTTGTTGCAATTTGCTATGGTAATTTTGCACATTCACAATAAAATTCTAATAAAAACAAATTAAATATACAGATACAAAAATACAGTTACAAAATAATAGGATCAAAATACAGGCTCATAGGGAAAAAAAAAAAATAAAAAATAAAATAAAATAAAATAAAATAATAAAAATAAATTAAGCATTATGCATATACAGAAGAGGAAATGTTAAATACATTTGATTGTACATTATTTGAAAGGTGTCTGTAATAGGGACTTATGTAAATTTTAGGAGTAGACTTATGTGTCTGAGAATGTGGAACTGCATGCTGACTTAGTTAGTGTATCATGTCTTGAGAGTTTTGGTTAATGAGGAGAGCACAAATCTTGGCCCATTCTCTTGAGCTTGTTAACAACTTTGCAAATTGTATTTACTGCCGGTTTGTGCTTTATAAGGAAGCGGTGATAAGCTTCACTATTGTTGATAGGAAGAGGGAGGTGATTTCCTGCTGTCAGATGGCATTCAAAAACATAGTGGTCTGGGGAGCCTTCCGCTCCGCAGGCGCATATGTCCGTGGTTGTTATGCCATGTCTATTGAAGTAGGTCGGGAATGGGCCGTGTCCCGTAATATAAGCCGTAAGAGGAGCTATTGCAATGTTGCGTTCAGTGCTGACTTTCGGGAGGTAGCTGTATGTACGTCTTCCAGTTGTGCAGTGCGTCCAGTCTTCCTGCCAAAGATTTAGGCCTTGACCCCGTAATAGCCCTTTGAGGTAGGAAGAAGGGACTGGGATTGTGATTTTTTTTCAGCTTCTGGATCAGTGGCTGCTTGCTTGGCCAGGCTATCAGCTGCTTCATTCCCCTCATTTGCTGCATGTGCCTTGATCCATGTTAAGGAGAGATGTTTCTGCGGGTTGCGCTGTGTAAAAGTTGTTGTAATTTGATGATCAAGGGCGAGGTGTGGTTGTGATTATCTAGTGCTAGAAGCGTTGACATACTGTCAGTGAAAATTTTCGCCCGTTCTATATTATTATTGAAAATGTAATCTACCGCGGTTATAATTGCTTGCACCTCCGCCTGGAACACACTGTTGTTTAAGTCAAGGCGTCCTTTCCATACATGGATGATTCTTCCTTTGTCATAGTGTGCAAAGGCGCTGCCTACTCCATCTTCCTGCTTAGAGCCGTCGGTGTATATTTGCGTATCCCTTGAAACTCGCGTCATTGACAGTGGCTGTATCCGTGAGATGTTAATTCTTATTCCTGTGCCTTTACGTGCAGGATGAGTGTGAAGAGTGTTACCTGGGCTTTGAAATTGCAGAGGGCTGTATGTTATGTTGCCAAATGTTGCATCTTTGCGGAGGTATATGAGGGTGGTGTACACTGCCTCTTGTTCTGCCCGTATGTGGAGTGGAATGAGCCCTGCAAGGACTGTCGCTGAGCTGGTGGCTGTGGTGCGGTACGCTTTACAGAGATTCAGGGCGAATGGTCGTTGAAGAGATGTAAGATGTTTGATCTTTCGTCCTCCCATCGGTTGGGCCCATACGGCAGCAGCATACAAGACTATTTTTTCAGCTACCACATGGTAGAGGATCTTCTGAATATGATGATTCTGACCCCAGTTTTTACCTTGGAAGGCGCGGGCCTTTCTGGCTATAGCTGATGTTTTGTTTTTTAGTTCTTGGATGTGAGGGATCCAGGTTAGTTTTTTATCCCAGATTACACCTAGGTATTTTAGCGTTTGGACAATCTTTATGTTGGCTCCTTGTAGTTTGATGCAGGGGCGGCGCGTTGGATTCGTGCCTGCTTTGGGTATTATTATTGCTGATGACTTTGCGGTAGAGATTGTAAGCTTTAAGTTGCTGCAGATATTGGCGAGGAGGGAGCAGACTTCGGTGCCGTTTTTCTCGAGCTCCGCACGAGTGCGACCTTTGACAAGAAGAGCTGCGTCGTCTGCGTAGGCGATGACACTTGTATGTCGTGGCCAGTTTGCATCCAGTACAGAGTTGAATGTTAAATTCCAGAGAATCGGTCCAGCACAAGAGCCTTGGGGACATCCTCTTTCTTGCACTTTGAAGGTAGTGTCGTTGTTGATGGCTATGAGAAGACTACGATTCTCTAGATAACTACTAAAAACGCTGAAGAGGTTGGATGGACACTGTGCGTCTCGGAGGGCCTGTCTTATCGCTGGCCACCAGAGTGTGTCAAACGCACTCTGGAGGTCAATGGATATGAAAGCTGTATGGAAACCTGTGGTGCTATTGCGTTGAATTGTTTCACGAATTTTGCAGAGGGCATGCGTAGTGGACAGACCAGTGCGAAAGCCATACTGCCTGGGGCTGAGATAATTGTTGCTATGGAGATATTTTAGTCTGTTAACAATTAATTTCTCGTAAATTTTGCCCAGGGTTGGCAAAAGGCATATCGGGCGAAAAGAGCGCGGGTCTTGGGGATGCTTTCCTGTTACAAGACGATAACTCAAGACTACACAGGGCTCGCATCATATAAGATTATCTTCAACAAGAATCAAATATGCGCATAGAGTGGCCAGCTCGATTCCCGGACTTGAATCCGAGATGATTTAGAGAGACATCTAGCTGCTCTCAGTCTGCCCCCTCAGACCCTTGCAACAGCTTTGCAAGAGCAATGGCTCTCACTTCCTATGGAACTGATAGACCGCATAATTGAAAGCATCATGCATCACTGTATGTGCTGTACTGTTTCTAGAGGCGACCATATTCCCTATTGAAGATACTTTTCCAAACTGACACCTTTGATTTGTTCATTTTATACATGTGCTAATTTCTATACTACAATCATTGTCTGGTAATTTATTTTTGTGTTATTTGATACCTTATTATGTGTTGTATATTTTGGGTAAGTTTCATAAAATTCTACACGTAACTTTCTCAGTAATCGTGATTTTTGTGATTTTTCCTTAATTTATGATAACCAGTGTAATTTAAGTATGGCATTTATACGAAATAATTCAGTATTAACATGACATATCTATCTATCTATGGGCAAATCTTTCTGGAAAACTATATTCCACTTTAATAAGTTTATTCAGGAGGGAAATTAATTAAATAAAAAAATGACTAATTGGGATGTCTCCTAAAAAACTTAACTGATTTAATGTTGATAATTTGAAGAATTAATTTTGTGATAAAAATGGTTTACTAAATTATGCAAAAAGTACAAAGGCTCTTTCCTAATTATATGGAGAAAAGACTTTTTGGAGAACACTGTTAAGGAAACTGCCCCATTACATTATACAGCAAAAAGTCCAAAATCCGGACAACCATTATCCGGAATGATCTAAAATCTGGACCTCAAATCCATAAACTTTTTTATATGCTTTACGCATGTGCATTTGATTTTTCCTTCCATAATAAAACATGGAGATTTTCACTTAAAAATTCCGAATCTTAATTTCACTTATGCACTAAATAAAATACATCATTATGAAAAAACAATCTAAAACAGAAACATTCAGCTATTTTATATCCCTGACCCCGACCTGGTGAGTCATATTTTGCTTTCATCAGGGCATGTTTATCAATACATGACAGCTTCAGTAATAACTCGTGCAGTGATGTCTAAACTTTTTTTATATTAATTGAATAACTAGAGTAAGGCAACCTTTCAACATTACGCTTGCGATGATATATTTTTTTAATGCTAAGAAATGTTGTGAGAAAATTCAACAAAATTTCTTTCATTCTAAAAATAGATTTTGTTAATGAAACTAGGCCAAAGATTATATTTAATGCTATTTTAATTAGATAACTGATGTTATTACCATAAACAGAAACCCGCGGCAGAATTTAGGGAAAGACCAATTTTTGGAATTTGGGGAGCACTGAGCGGCAAAATTAAGGGATGAGAAGTTTTTTATAATTTGGGGGGTGGTAGCACTGGTTTCCAAAGTTTAGGTACGGTGAAAATTTAGAACTTAGGAAGGCACTTTGTAACAGAATTTAGAGACTGCACCAGGCGGTATCTAGCGCCGGCCCTAGATAAAGCCTTAAGTATATGAGGGAGTTTATTTATTCAGGATTAATTTTAAACTTGTGCAAGAAATACTATACCTAGTAAATAACTAATACAATTCAGGCTTAATTCAGTACACAATAGGAGCAAGACAAAATTTAATGAAACAACTTGACTTTCGTTGCCAATCTTGTGATACACAGCCAATAATGTATAACGAACGCTATTAAGCTAGGCTAAAATTATTTTAACTGATTCTAAAGGCATTTATTTCAGTTAATGTATCAGACTGCACTGCTCCTTAATCTTCCAATTTGATCCAGCTTATTATTTTTTGCAGACTGTTATTACAGGAATTTATAAAAATTAAGCTTGTACTTTCGATTACATTGAAAAGAGATTACAGTTCTGGAGCTGCTAAATGATCTACAAAGGGAAACCACGTTTCGTTGTCCATTAAACAAAAAGTGGAATTGCGGCAAAAAATGATAAAGGCAATCCGTTCAAAATGTACGAGATATGGGATTGAAAGTCAACTATACGTGACATAAGAAAAACGAACTTTTTGAATTTTTTATGGAAGCAGTTAAACAACTTACATTGAAAGAGTTTAATAAAGCAAACAATAAATAAATTTTTTTTTTTTTTTTTTTTTTGTAAATTTTGATACCCTTTAGATCACAATTGTTCTTTATTTCATAAATTACGATTTCACATTTTTAATTGTATGCCATCTTACCAGATTTAAATTGATCTATTATCCGGAAAAATCCCAAATCCGGAATCGCCGAAGTCCTGACGTGTACAGATTTCGGACTTCGTACTGTACGAATAAAATCTAATGCACAGCTAATACTCTAATCACCGAGTCATCCTCTTTTTTGACAGGCAGGGCTTTTAATAAGTATTAATACACTCTTTATTAGTATAGTGGTTAATTATGCTGGTTGCCATTATCATTAGATCTGGGTTCAAACAACAGAGAAGGCTTCGATGTTTGTAAATGTACAGAATCTGAAGTATGGAAGCACTTAAAATGTATGACAAGCTGAAGAGGAATGGGAAACTCTTGGATCTGTTCTCCTCCATAAGAATTCCGTTAAATATGGGATGAACTTGGGTAAAGTTATACTATCACCTATAAGTTGGCCAAAGCCAGTGACAGATGCAATCCTGTATTCCTTGCAATTTAAAAATTTTTCTTTTGATGTTGACTTAAGATAAATCATAACTCTTAACAGTGCCATTTCTTGAAAATACTAAATTCGTAAACCAGTCCTTGAATAAGTCAAAATTAATTGAACTTTACAATGTGTGACATTTATCCATTTCAGGAAGAAGCACATATTTGTTTCATTAAAAAGTTTACAAATGTAATGTCACAAAAAGTATAGATAAGTTTAGGTAACTGAAAATGTCTTGTTCCTACTACTATCATAAAAAAATCTTTTCCAGGATACATTCCAGGATTTCACACTATTATTGGTCATTGAATTATATAAATTACTCGAAAAACTAGTATGCAGTTCATTACAGACTATACTGGCTATAATAAATCCCATAATGTATTAGACGAGAGAAATTTCATCCTTTTTCTTTGTAATCTGACTGGCTTTTCTTTTTATTCACTATAAAAAAATTTAATTAATGATAAATGTCACTTGCAGTTGTCTTCTCATTAAAAAGAGAATCAATATTCATCAAATTTTAAAAGTTTAATTTTTTTTTTTTTTTTTTTTTTTTTTTCAAATTTGTTGAAAAAACTGGATTTACCCAAGGAAAAAAAAAAAATCACCTTTTTTCCCCCTCCCATTCTTTTTTACCATTTCATATTATGAGTTCTTTTAAATGGGCTCCCATTTAAAAGAACTCATGAAATCTTAAAACTATTACATTATCACTTAGTTTTTTAAATAAGTACTACCACTATAAAATAAATTCTATATTTTATAACTATACTTCAGAGATTGCAGGCAAAATAATATATATGCAAGAATATGGAAACTACATTAAAAATATGTAATAAAGACTTACAATCCCCATTCAGTATGTAGAGCTATGGCAGTCACAGCAGCAGGAGGAGTTAGTTGCTCTATAACACTGGGTACAAAACCAGACTCAAATTTTAAAGACCCATGTTTAAGGGTTAGTTGGTCATGACCCTTCCAGACAAAATTATCTCGATCACTCACAATATTTACTGAGTGTACCTAAAAAATTTTGTATTTAGAATATTTTAATAAGTATTTATTTGTGGCAAAATATCTAATAAATCTATTTTGCAATAAAATCTATAACACATCAGTCGAAAGGTAAAAGTATAATCATCACATTACAAACATAGAAAATCTTTTATAAATGCAACAATGGAATTATTTCAATGAGCAAAACCTAATAAACTTAATAGGAATATATCTTCTGCTCCATTGCTAAAATCGCAAATCTGCAGCTTCTCTTTTCTATCCATTTTTTAGCATGTCACTCAAAATGCATTGTAAAATAAACTTCATTTTCAGGAAATTTTTTTATGTGCATGATTTTTCACTATTTATTAACAAAAACACATACACATAAAAACATTTTGTTAAAAATTTACTCAGAAAATATAACAAATACTGAAGATTTATTTCAATAAAAAATGCTAGTTCAGCAACTTTAAAAATGACATTTATTTCAGACATTTCCCCACCCCCTCCAAATGGCAGATTGTGAACAGTTACAGTGTAACACAGTCCATTAATCTATACAAGGCTAGATGTGGTGGTCTCTATTATGGAGGCACCTAATAGGTGGGACACTATTGTCTCCTATGAAGGGGATGGACAGTTACAACCATGCTTTCTCCGGGATTTGAACCCAGGCCCTTCGGTATCGCAGTCAGGCATCCCTAACCACTAATACTGTCTGGGAAGCTTTATTTCAGACATTTATTTTATTTATGTGTATGACAAAATTTGTTTATATACATAACAAAACGATTGTGTATGATTGTCATTTCCTGAAAATTGTACACATAACAAAAGTTACATTACACTTTTCAAACACATACCAAATGTTAAATTTCACTTTTCTAAACACAGTGACTTCACAGAAAACTTTAAAAGCACTCCATCGTTTTCGCAGGGAGATAACAGATACATGTTTAGATATATGAATGAAGTTGAACAAAAAGGGTCAAGTGAATTTCACAATTATTAATTTCAATGATTTTTGTATAATTAATGATCTACATAAATGGATCAAAATCTGAATGTCATTTACAACTAATATAATCAGTTATAGACAACCTTCACAGTATCACTTTAAGCTTTTAACAAAGAAATTTTTTTAACCAGTTAAATGCGATTGACCAGTATACTCATCATGCATATAATGAAATGGAAAGATAAGAGGGAGGTTTATTAAGCAAGTACAGTCAAAAGTCGTTAATTCGGACACCCATAATCCGGAATGATCTATAATCCGGACCTCAAAGCTAAAATCTTTCTGCGCATGCGCCGCATTTACGCATGGGCATAGGCGTTTTACTCATGCGCCCAAGACATTTACGACTGCGCATATGCGTCTGCACAAGTGCAGAATAAGTTTTCGCGTGCGCGTTTAATGTATAACGGACGGTATAAGCTAAAATTATCTAATTATCTATTTCAGTTAATGTTGATGATTGCATTGTTCCTTAATCTTCGAATTGGATCCGGCTTTTATTTTTGCAGACTGTAAGAGCAATTTTCTAAAGTAAGCTTGAACTTTCGTTATGTCAAATGAATTTCCGATGATGGAGCTCCCAAAGATCTAGAAAAGAAAGTATGTTCATGTCCTCAAACAAAAGCAGATGTTTTTATTTATTGGCTTATAATTCCTTCTAAATGTAGTATTTAATTTCGATGTACTCCTTGATATGATTTAAATCAAATTCCTCGTCATTATAAATACCACGAATACAAATCAAATAGTTTTCTGGTTGCAATTTTCTAATTTCGGCTATGCGTAAGGTATGCTTTACGCATCCGGTGTTGAAAGAAAATGTTTAATAAAGTAAACAAATAAATATTAGGCTTCTTTTTGGTAAATTTTGATACTCTTTAGATCAATATTGCTCATTATTTTATTAAATTACGGTTTCATATTTTTAATTTATAATTTCTGCATGCCATCTTACCAGATTTAAACTGATGATCTATAATCCGGAAAAATCGATAATCCGGAATCGCCGAAGTCCCGACGAGTCCGGATTAAAGACTTTTGACTGTACTGTACATAATGACAACATAATAGAAACAGAGAAAAGAAAAATAACAAAGAAACCAGAGCTAGTGATTATAATAAAAAATGGGTGGAGTGGATATGAGCGATGGAATTATCATAGCGTACCAAACAGCAATAAAACAACTAAAGTACTACAAAAAGATCTTTCTCCATTTCTCAAGACATTATGCGTCTGAATGCATTCATATTATATAAAAAATAATAGAACATTATCGCATATCAACTTTTTCTCAAATTTATTGAAGGCACTTTTGCGACGTATCCAATTGAAACAAATAAAAAAAATCGAAACAAACTCTGCTATTTAGACCTAATATAAGCTATTTAGGTGGGAATCATGTTTTGGATTATATACCCAGAACATCAGAAAAAAACAATGCTATGCAAATGTGTTCACATTGCCACAAACGTAAGATCAGGAAGGAATCATGTTACTAGTGTTCAATTTGCAAAGGCCCATTGTGTATAGTACCCTGTTTCACTAAATATCACTCCACAGCAGGAATTTAAATTCTTACTTTTATATGTATAATATTTAATTTACTGCATTTTTAGTTTCATATGTATGTAATATATGCTTATGTTAACCAAATAAGTAAATATTAGTAATAAAATTTTCAATTTTATAAAATAAATCCATCTTTTTCATCAAATATCTTACCAGTGCAACTTACTCTGTGATTGACGAATATACTAGTCATGGCTCATATCTGGCGACACAAAACGGTGTGCACTCTTAAACGAGAGCACCACAGTTACCTGATTAAATATTGCATTTGCCCGAGAGTTAAAATGCTACATTAATTTCTAATACAAACTTATGTGCATGGTTAAGAAAATAAGCAGAAATAATAACATTCAAAATCATATGTCTTCAATAGTTTTAGTACAAGCTTTATATTGTGTTAAACTTTTATTAAATATCTTTGGAAACAATGATAAACAAATCGATCATAAAAAAATAGAAAAAATATTCTTAAGAACTGTGTTCATTGCTTTTACATCATTTGGTTTGCTACTCCGCAATAGATTAAATTTTGAAGTTAAATATCTTATGCCTTATTAAATGGCAACATGCCAGCATGTAGAAGATAAAAATTATTTTACATCAGGTAGTTTCAACACAGCTTTTAAACAGCTGAGTTTGTTGCTTAAAACTGAAGGATCACATTTACCTTTTTACTGAAAGATACCCGACTGCTACATGGCAACAGTCCGGTACGCTGGAGATAAAAAGTGTTTTATTTTGAGCAGTACTGCCAATGTTTGCTTTTAAATAAATGAGTTTATTAATAAAAATCTGTCAAATTTGTACAACATAAAATAATTTCAAAATTCAAGCTTCTAGATGCAGATATTTGGGTGAAGGTGTATCTTCAAAATTTTGTCACTCAAGATGCCACTTTTTCACAATGCAAGGAATATATATATATATAAATGGATATTCATTGTTTATTAATAGATTGTTAGATTTTGATCCTCAAGTAATAAAACTGCTATTGAGAATTAATTTATTTTCAGCATTTGAAAACATAAATTACTTCCAAAATTCTTTTGCCATTTTAGAATTAAAGAATGCCATACATTAATAAATCACAAATGAATATCACTCAATGGCATTAATCTCAAACTATTCTATTTTTTAATCCGCCCCTCAAGAACCAAAAAAGATGTTAAAAATCACAAATTTTGAAATTAAACTTGTCAGTTTTTGTCATATGAAATTCAAATTTTTTGCATTTTGTTTTTCAGAAAAACATTAAACTTTTTTTTACATTTAACTGTAGGGACTGGGAGACTATATAAAAAAATTAAATTTTACAATTTTTACAAAAGTTAACTTTTAAAAATACCAAATTATGAATATTTGCATCATTAAAATATTTAGGTAGTTGGAAATATATGTCTATGCAAACAACTTAAAGCACTAATAACTTTTGTGAACATTGTGTGTAAGACAGGTTATCATATGTCCTCATTATACTATATAATCCTTACTTTCAAGGATTAAATTAATATTCAGAATGAATTTTCAAATGTTTAAACATGAATATCTAGAAACTAGAATTTAAGTATTTTAATTTTATTCAGCTTTTAAACAATGGAAGTTAAAAATCTACTTCTAGAGTGACAAGATAAAAGTTTGGAAGAACAGAATAAGCATTTCCAAAAATCCCACACAATGCCTGCTCAGCATCTAGCATTGTGGTCCAAACAAATTTTGTTCCAAAGACATTGTGGTCCAAAGTCAGTATTCACTACTACCATTTAAAATAAAAACTATTCTAAACATATATAAAAACATTAAAATATTTTTGCTTACATACAAAAGAATTGTGATAAACATAATTACATCAGGGAAACTAGCGTGGTTCAGATTCACATTAATATACATACTTCCAATTCTTTTTCTATCTCCTCATCTTTCAACTCGAATAAAATAATCTGACCCGCAGTTCCTGCTACAATAAGGGTCTTAGTTGAGACACATAACAAAGTTTTCTTCACAGCTAGGCGGGGATCATCACTATATGGATCAAAACTTCCAACCTATTGAAAGAAAATTTTTTAAATGAACGAGTTCCAGTATACAATTGTTACAACATAAATTGAAAGATTTCTGAATTTTAACCTTTCTAAATGGTGGCCATTCCTCTTCCTCAGCTGGTGGCTCTCCTTCCTCGCCCACAAATAAATTTGATGTATGAATAGTGTAAAGATGAGACAAGGCGACATCTGAAGCATCCCAAAATCTTACAGACCCATCTTCATGCCCAGTAAGTAAAAGATTGTGAGAAGTTGGTTCTTCTAACAAATTTATTCCACCCGTGATAGGCCATTCCTGAAATAATAAAAGAGATTTAAATTGAAAAGATACTAAACAAAATATTACTTTTGCAGAATTTTAACATTCTATAAATTGAAACATGTAAACCCACCTATAAAATCCTAGACATCCTTTCAAAACTTATCATTTAATACTAACTTTCCAATTAATGTACAATGGTTAGAAAACTGCTAATGATTATTAGATTAAAAGTATACCACAAAAGTTTAAAACAAAAGAAATATAACTTATATTCATACCAATTTTTTAATTAAATATATATTTTTTAATGTACGATTAAAATAATCACTCAGAAAATTTGGCATGACTTACTCTTTCAGTATATTTTCCAGATACTTGCTTATTTCCAGATGTGATAATACTATTCCACAAATCCTGAGGTACATTATTACAGTGCTGAGTACAAGTTATAGAAGATAGATGCAAACTAGATAAATAAGGTAGTCTGAAAGGTAACCAGTCATCGGATTCCAAATCAATCAGAACAATTTCCTCTTCAGCCAAAACCACAAGAGTATGGGGATTGTCATACTCTAAGGGGGAAAAAAATTTATTTAATACCTGCTTCACCTATAAATTTAAAAAAAAAAATCCCTTCACCAATTTAGTTTCTATGACAACATAATTCACACCAAGAAATATTAGTAAACATTCAAAATGCAAATCATTCTGAGGGGTAAAAAACAAGGATCTAATTTTTACATATATCAAAAGTTTTATACCTTAATTCAGAACATAATGCATTTAAATATTTGCTTTAGCCATGGTACAGATATACAAATGTGTAAAGGTACGGGCTAAGGTTTCAAAACAGATTCCACTTTTTAAAATTGGCTTTAATATTACTCAAATGATAAAAACCCATTTAGTTATAAAATTCAATACTCCTTAAAAAGTTTGCCCCTTCCAAAAAAGGCAAGTTGTTATGTTGTTAATTTTAACTGTGCTAACATCATTGAATTGGTATTAAGGTTTTTATTTAAATGTAATTATTTGTTAAGTAGTGTAGTGGGAATTTTTCTTTGGCACTTAAAAGCTTCCGTTTTCAGTTCTTAGTTTTCCCATGGCAGGGAGAATTTCCTGAACATCTGGGCAGAAAAAAATGGGATTAAATTAACTTGGCCAGTGTTCCCTCAAATGGAATTTCTTAGCAGGCTGCGAACAAGAATTACAATAAGAAAATAGCAGTTTAGGGTTATCTTGTTGCTCAGCTCATGCTGTTTTGGGACAGTAAAGTTTGTTTGAAAAATAGATTGCACCTTCAATTCTTCAGAAGTCAGGGAAAGGGGTTAGCAGTCGGATGTCGAAGCTACGAGTTTTTGTTAAACTAGAAATTAAAAGATGAAAAGTTTCCCATTCCAAGAGTTCCAAGCTAAGTCTAAGAGTTCCAAGATTCCTGTTCCAAGAGTTCGGAGGAGAGTTCCTTCTCATGTGCTGTGGTGACTTACTGATGAAATTAAGATGACAGGCTTTGTGCCAGCGTTTGTGTTCCCATTGGTTTGGGGAGTTTAAAACAAAAATGAGAAATTCACCCTGTTGCCTTTAGGTTTGTGAGGGAGTAGAAAAGAGATCTGCCTGAAATTTCAAGAAAAAACAGCAAGCAACACGGACCAGCTTGGCTTGCTGCATGTTTGTCTGTACGCATCGACTTCAGACAGTGGAGATTTGCATAAAGCAGAGGCAATTTTCAAACAGTTGCGAGAGAGAAGAAAATTTAATGGAAAATGATCAGATGAAGTGAATGTCTTACATCACAATAAAAAGGAAAAGAAACAAACATATAAATTGAGAGAGTAAAATGTGTCTATACTTTTGTCATAATGTGTGCAACATAAAAGGATACCAAAATTATGACTACAAAGGTTATGATCAATTGAAACTCCACTTCAGACTATTCTTTAATAGATTAAGAGAGCGCTGGAACATTCAAACCCCTGATTTAGCAACTCAGGAATATCTGCTTCTGGCTCTGACAGATGTGAATAATCTGTGCGTTTGTTCTCGTTTTATAACATCAGGTTCTGCCTCCAAATGATGAAGTAATTGATCCACCCGTTGGCTAATGTCTGTTTATGAAGCACAGAAAAGTGTGTTCCGAACTGATATTTAGTGTGATGGAGAGAACAGCTCCTCTTTCAAACAATAAAAAGCAGACGTAAGAACAGTAAGTAAGAGCATTAATAACGGGCTGCATGAATTTACTGCAGTCAGTTTGTTACAAGGTTATCCCTTAGTAATGCACAACTTTTTTTACAGAAGCATGTTCATCCTTCGCCTCCTTGCATGTAGAGATGATTATGCAAAACTAAGTTGTTCTGTCCCATCCTATCTTGTAGCATACATCTCAATAGAGGGTGTTGCGATGTTCCCCCTCAAAAACCAAGAAAACCTTTATAGACAGCGGGCTAAGCAGTTATCCCTTCTGGCTCCTGCACCATGTTTTTTCAATAGCCATTAATGCTAACAAGATGATGCGGCTCCGATCTTTATGTTCCTTGTGCCTTTTCACTGACTGATGAATAAAGTTTTATAACTGTCAACAATCCATTATCTTTTCGACAGATCTCGCTCTCTAACAGAAGTGTAATATGCAAAGATTTAAAAATAATATTTTTCAATCTTCCAAGATTAAGACAAGGTCCTTATTTGCATATTGCGATTTAATAGGCTGTAATGTTATTATAATCAAGAAAATTTTATATGTATTTATTATTAAATCTTGCATGTATTACTATTATTTATGGGATTTACTTTAGTCCCTCCGTTTGCTTGACCAGAAGGTTCTGGAACTGAGGAGTACTATGAGACTAATTTTATTTGTGAAAACTTAAATTTTAATACTAACTACTTATTGAAATGATTAATCTTGATTAATAAATGAGTGCTGATGAAGTAATTTAATTTTAATTGAATTTGTTGATTTATTATTAAGGGGAACTAACTGATTGATATGTTTGAATTTTTATTCTTTGGTGATTGTGAGGTAGTATATTAATAGAAATGAATTTTTGCTATCGCTACGTTAAGTTACGAAAACAACTGTGTACGATAAGCTTATGGCAATTTGAAATAATGGTATTCGTAAGACAGCACTCTTATGAAATATGAAAATAAATTGGTATTGCATTATCTGGGAAAAATACAAGTTTGATTTCCTGTCCAATTACCAGTAAAAATTTATTCCTATAGTTTTAGGTTACTGATTTAACAGGTTTCAATTTGAATCTCGTATAAGTTAATCGACTTTAAGGTTTTTGATTTAACCCTTGCACTACGACTAAACTTCACGGTTGCGATGCCGTGTGCTACAATATAACAAGCAGTAAAGTGTCTCATTTACGCCGCTCTGCGTCTGCAAGTGCAATCCAGAGCTGTAACTAAAGAAATAAACAACCTCGTTGTTAGGCGAAGTGCGCACCACATTATTTTCATTTTTGCGATAAATGCATGCCTATCGAGGTGGTGTTCCCACTGCTCGCGGTTTGAGACAAAAGCATTTCGACGTGCGATGCACGTCTTTTCAGCGCAAGTGGTTAACTTAATTTTGGATCAACCATCCAATTCTTTCAGGTGTAGAGTTTTCAGTTTAGTGAGGAGGTCAGCTCTCAGTTTCAGAAAGACAACTTAGCTTACAATTATTTAAAGCTTAAGGTATTATTCATTTAATACCAATTTCTCCTAACAAAGTTATAAAAATGACCTACATGCAAGTTCAGTTTGAATTATAATAAAATTATCTGGATTATTCTGTCACATCTTTCTCTTCCTTACAGGAAAAACATTCAACTTTCACAACATTCACTGAACCGGTTTTTGACAAGATAAAAGATAATGCCAAAACTTAATTCTCTTTTCTCTTTCTATTTAAGGCATTCTATGCAACTCCATCAAGTTTCATTTTAAAAGGATGACATCTAGTTTTCTCCCAAAAATGTTTAGTCCCCCCCACACACACACACACAAACTTAAATCATAGAATTCTTTAATGTTGGGCAGCAGAACTGTCCATCTTTCTCTGTTTAGACCGAAATAAAAATTAGATCGGTTTAGAAACAGGCTATAAGTTTGAAAAACACAAAGCTTAAAGGTGATTTTGCTTTCTTCCCATTTTCTTTAGAACTGTGCATCAAACACATAAGACTTCTAAAAAAAGGAAGAGGTTAAATTAAGTAACACTTAAAATTTAATGTTTTATCAAATTCTATCAACTTTTTCCCTTTCTATTAAACACAAGAAACATTTAAAAAATTATACCCAATATGATATAATATGATTCATGAACAGCAATTGCTTTTATGACTAAAATTTAATCTTAGCAGTATTTAATAATATTCAAGCATTATTTATACCAGATTCTTCATCCCCATGACAGATGGTGAAGAAGTCCACTATTTTAGATGTAAAATCTAAAACTTGATGTTTATCACCACATAAAACAGTCACTGTATGTTTGTCACCAAAACTAGCCCGTGGCATTCCTCCAGAAAATATAGTAAAATCCTCCCTGTAAGGGAATAGAAATGGTTAACTAAGATAAAGCACCTCAAGAACTATTTCCAAACAGATGTACAAGTATTTCATTTAAAAAATATGTTTTTATTATTAAAATACCAAGGGTGTTCTCACATTTTTTTATATGATTTTCATTGTATTTACAGAAATATTTTATCCAAATGTTGCATTTTAAATTTGATAATTTATTTTTCAGTATCTTTGTACACTGTAATTTCCAAGAAAATAAAGCTTTTCTTTTTAGTAGCGAAAGAGGTATTTTATCCCATTCCTCTTGAACAGCTTTACTAAGTCCAAGGAGGGTGATAGGTTGATATCTGGACAATCCACTTTTTAAAAGTCGAAAGTGCAAAAACCCATGGATAATACATTGAGAGATTTAGTAAGGATATGAGTGAAGGGCATGGCCTTGATAAACGTTTCTTCTTCAGCTTTGCCCAGGAAATTATCAGTGGATTTTGACTTGCATTTGCTTGCTTTGTCTTGGTGCAATTCTACTGATTGATGGCATTTTGGATAATGAGAAGATATTTCATATTTGAAAATTGTGTAAAAAATATGTTTCTGATAATATGTGGAGTTCACCTTAACAGTTTTCAAGACTAATTTTCATTTGCCCTTATATCAAAAACCAGCAACAATCATAAATCCTTTTGAAAAACTTTTAGATTCTTTGAATCATGTCCTAAGATTTTTTTCTCCTCTTTCATAATAATAAATGGATTCCTTTTTGTTGCAGTCATTTAAATAGAGCCACAATTCATCTATTGTGATATTTCCATTTTTGTCCAAATAATTGTTTCTCAGAATTCTGCAGCGCATTCTGCTTTTGGCAAGATGTCGTGGAGAAAGACTATATACTACTGATTGATTTCAAAGAAAAAAATGAGGGAGCACTGATACTTGCGTCGTTGTAGAAAGAATAAAGGTTTGTTTTCTGTTGAAGATGGCAACTTAAGTATATTTTCATGCAAAATAAAGAAAAAATGTTATTAAGTGTTAACTTTAACATATACAGTACTTTAGTCTTTAATCCGGACTCGTCGGTACTTTAACGATTCCGGATTAGGGAGTTTTCCGAATTATAGATCATCAAATTAAATCTGGTAAGATGGCATGCAGAAATTATAAATTTAAAAATATGAAGTAGTAATTTATGAAATAAAGAACAATTATGATCTAAAGGGTATCAAAATTTTGAAAAAAAGCTTAATATTTATTTATTTAGTTTATTAAACATTTTTAAGCCTAGCAATTAACAAAGTTCCATCCAAGAATTCTGTGCAAGAATACATTTGTTAATCTAAAACATGCGGCTCTTTTTTACATAATCAAAAGTTAAACTTTTTATATAAAAGCGAACAGTAGTAAAAAAATAATAAGCCAGACATTAGAAGATAAGGGAAACAATGGAATCTGCAACATTAACTAAAATAGATAATTAGATAATTTTAGCCTAGCTTATACTATCCATTATACATTAAATGCGCATGCGTAAAGGTATTATGCACATGTGTAAACACTACGCATGCGCAGAAAGCTAGTAGCTTTGAGGTCCAGATTATGGACGTCCGGAATATGGATGAAGACGGATTAAAGACTTTGTACTGTATAAGAGCTCAAGTAATAATCTAAAATGATACCAAAAATGCTAGAAGTGAATTTTTTTTTTTTTTTTTTTTTTTTTTTTTTTTTTTTCCCAGATTCCTTTTATAAAATTAGGCTTAGCGATGCAAAACCACTGTCCTGTACGGTGACTGCCTTCGATCCCCGTCCCGCACGAGTCTTAAACAAAGGTGAGCCGTCGCGAAAGGGTTAATCAACGAGGATGATTTCTGGAATGTAGTTTACTGAGAAAGAATTAAAATATCTGAAGGAAATATTAAAATATCTGAGAAAGAATTAAAATATCTGAAGGATTGTATGCAGTCAGTTCTGTGTTTGGTTGGGTGGCTGCAGGAATCGAGATAAATAAAATGAATAAAAATTGTTCTGAAAATTTAACAGCAATGATAAACACTTGTGTTGAAAGATTTAAGAGGTTTTGGAGAGTCAGAAAAAGTAGAAATTGATCATTCTGATGATTATACTAATACTGATTGAGAAATAATAATAGACAAGTTTGAAAGAAATTTACAGTTTAAAAATGGTAGATATGAAGCTGATTTAATCTGGAAATACAGTCTTTTAAGGTAGCAAAGAATCAATTCACGAACCTTCACAATGATTTAAGTAAACTCTGAAGATTTTCCAGGAATACAAAAATAATTGAAAACCAGACATTAGAAGGAATTGTTGAAGAATATCCAAATAATGATACAAATTTGGGATATTTTATGCCACACTGAGCAGCGATACGATCTAGTGAAACCACTAATATAAGAATTGTGCAAGACACTAGCACAAGGACAGAGAACACGAATAAAAGTTCTGTTGAAGGTGCTGTACATAGTTCGTTAAAATATTAAAATTTTGTGAATAACTGACATCTCCTTATCTAGAAACTCATTTCAAAATGCACATTATGCTTTTTTGGCCTTTTAAGATTCCAATCAGCATTCATCACTTCGTTTACAGTTGACACTAACCGTTTTAATGATTATGCAACTCTCCATTAACTTCACCGATTGTCTTTTAACATTAAAGTTCTTAGCTTTGCAACATTTGAAATATTTAGTTTTTTCCTTAGATATGTAACTTGAACAATTTTTCTCCTTGAAGGCAAACTCTGACTTTTTTTAGTTTCTTACTAATAATATTATTTATCGTTGCTTTAGATGCCAAAAAATCATGATTGTCACACCATTTTTTAACTACTAAATACGAATAATTTTTTTCAGAAAGAGCACAAGACACAGCATTCTGTCCACTGCTTCTTTAAAAGTGCCATTTAGATTGAAAACAAGTTTTAAACAGCAGACGATAATTTACTCTTTCAAAAATATGGTTGCGGTTAAAAAATTAGTGATGTTTTTGTATAGCACAGCAAAGTCATCTAAAAAATATATGAACAGCCTCTGTATTGAATGATTTTCAATTAAATTCTTTGGTGATCAAATACATATACACTTGACTCATTCATGACATGACGTTTATATTTATACTGACAAGTCTGAAATATTTTAAAGTTTGAAGTTGCAATAAACTTTAAAAAAATATTTTCCTGTGAGCCAGAATAAACATTTTCTAGAGAACTTTATACATTCTATTTGATATTTTCAGCTAGCTTTAGTAAAACTATAATTCAGTTCAAGAAGATACAGAAAAGTACTATCCATATAACTCTCAGAGAAATTCAATTTCTAATTTCTTTAGATTTTCATGACTAAAGCCCATATCACACGGCGTTTGTTTCACATGAACAACTGCTTCGGACAATTTTTCTGCCTGTTTTACTATTGAAAGAAGAAAGACGTGCGACTTGTTCCTTCCTTTTGAAAAAAGTTGCAAGTTATTTGTTTTCAACCAATTAGCTATCAGCACCGAATGCTGTTAGCTTGTTTGTAATGGAGAACCAGTTTCCCCTGTGTTAACCCCCAAAGCGAGCTGTGGTGATTGGCTGTTGTGACAAAGCAGAAAAATTGTTCCAAACAGTTGTTCTTTGGAAACAAACCGACATGTGATAGCAGCCTAAGTGGAATTATTTTCTTGACTAAATTTAATAAACCAATTATCAAACTAAGTATAAGCAACTGATTAATTAAGCTGAAAAACAATAATAATAAAAATTAATCTAGCATTTTAATTATGAAACAATTTAATACAGGAAACTGCATGTAAATCATCAAAAATATGAGTTTTAATGAGAAATAACAATGGAAGAATATTCATTGTGCAAAAGATTTTTATAAAAGTATAGTTTTCAAAATAAAATAGCTTAGAAATGCTAAGGACTGACAGATGCACTAATTAATGAAGTTATTTAAATGCCCAATTTAATGCACAGTCTTTCTTAACTACATGTCATTTTTAGAATGAAATTACATTTCTAAAGACAGGAGAAAACGGAAGAACAGCTTATTACTGGAAAAAGTGGAGGTTGATAAAAAAATCATAAATACAAAGTGGGTAAAATACTTTTGGAGAAGTTTATTTGCTATATTTTCACTTACCCAGAATGGCAACTATTAAGTGTGTGTGCTCTATTTAAAAGATGCTTTTATGATATCAGTAAAGGATTTTTTTTTTAAGTTAATATTTCCCTCGACTAATTTTAATTTCCCCAACTTCCTAAATTTTCCAAAAGTCATTAATATTTCTGGCAACTTTGTCAACATACTAAACCTGTTTCACACAGAATTGCTTCATTAAACAATTTCATTTACACATAAAAAAGGTTACCATATAATGTACAAAATTATATAAGTAAGAAAAAATCCGAAATATATTTTATCACAGATTTATTTTATTTTTTTACATAGTCTAGAATTATAAAAATGTAAAAATTTTAAAAAGCAGACTAATACTTAAATATCTATACATATTTACAATAAAAAACAGCTACAGCATCGACTGAAAAGTTCTACATATTATCCTGAATAATATTCTCAGAAAGCTGAAGATTTAAAATTTTTCCTCACCAAGTTTAGGTCATTAGTCTCTGTAGATACTTCAAGTTACCAGTTAGCTTTAAAGATAAATATAAAAGTAAATTTTCCTTGTAGGTTTATAAAACTAGCTTCCTTTTAGAATTTGAATTGTTTTAAGAGTTTTTATATCTTTACATTTATAACAATACCCTTAAACCAATATTGAAACCAGAGTTACCAGATGAAATGACGAACGAAAAATGAAACAATTCTAGGTACCAACACATTTTAAGAACAGTTCAAACTTTATTAAGCTTTCCCAATGATTATCATGCTTTAAAAAATTCAAGTCTCTCAAAAAGTCCAATTTTTTTGTGGGCAAGGATGTTATTGTTTGCTTAAAAATATATTGTTTTTAATTTCTCTTAATGCTCATCGAAATTAAAAATCCCCAAGTATACAATTTTATAATCAATTCCATTTCTTGCTTAACACAATTTACCATAGTTATTTTACTAAGGATACAAAACAAAAAATAATTACATACCCGCCTTTTACAGCTCGCCACAAAACTTTTGTTATGGGTTTGCAAGGGAATGGTCCTATAATAAAACAGAATTTTTAATATTTTATTTCAGTAAAGTCAAATTTTTAAGACTTAAATGAAGTACAAATACCATATGGTGGTGCTGGAGACTCTTCTGCCTTTGTCGAATCAGTAGAGCTCCAAATAACGTAACTGCCATCATTATGTGAACTCATAAATTTAGTCCCACTACGATGCCATGATACAGATTCCAGTTGCTAAAAAATTTATATAAAAATGAATTGGAAAAAACAGCAATGCATATCTAAATTTAGATAAAATATACAACAAAATTCACTTCATATTTTATATATTAAAACAAAGCAATTTCAATAGCTAATTAAGAAGCTTATTCACTCGATAAAATAAGTTTATATGGTAAACTAAAAACTGGTTTAAAAACTCAGAAAATTTATCATGTATGCCATCTGATATATTAATTTAACCCATAAGCTTTTTCAAAGAAATTATTGAAAAGTAATATATGAAATGAATTAACAATGTTCAGGCAAAATCTGTATCAAGGAAAGCACATAATCCTGTTTCCATCTTTACTGTATTCGGAATGGAAAATATTCAGCTGGGATTAATATAGCATAAAATTTTGATTAAAATCTGATCCTTTTAGTCATAAAAATTTAAATACATGTAGAAAATTTTAAAATAAAATTCATAAATAAATACAAGCACTAAATGTAATCTCCAGAACAGACATCACAGCATATTACACACAAACACTAGCTTAGGATATATAAATTGCAGAATGATGAAATTAAGAAATTTCATTAAAAACTGGAAACGAATGGTCAGGCTAGTTTCAACCTCCTTAGTTGTTACAGGTAAGAACATTCACTGCAATCATAAGATCCCAACAATTAGTTACAAAAACAGGCACCAGACAGGATAAACAACTTCAATTTTTTAATATACATAAAGTTTACTTACACAGGTGATTTTCCGAAATAGTTTTACACATTTAAGTTTATAATCAAAATAGTTGAAGTCACAGAATATAGTAAAATTACTTTTAACAGAAAATCAAATTTTTAAATATTAAATAATAATTTAATGAAACTAATATAATGTTAATTTTCTAACTTAAGACATACAAATTTCCTCAAAATTTAAAAGAGAATTTATTAAAATCTTACTTGGCTGCCAATGTAAGTTTTCTCAGGATTTAAAGTCTTATTATCCCACAGAACCATTACACCTCTATTATAACCAATAATTATTTTATCCGAGTTTAAAGGATGTTCCGCAATCGCTTCGACAGAGCCAGGATTTAATTTATAATCATCAGGAACACTGGAAAACATGAAATATATTATATGAAAAAATAACACTAATACATACGTAAACTAATATCTATTAAACTTCTAGAACAGCAGTTCTCAACCTTTTTTTTTTTGCTCCAAGTAACGTCTTTCACTATTGCTAGACAATCAAGCCCAGCTTTCCAATATTTGAAAAATATTACATACTTTAATATAAATTTATGTTGTTTTTAATGTACTTTATAAATTAAACAAGTATAGGAAATTTTGATCAATATCACCACTTCAAGAAAAGTTGTTTTTTTACATTACATTTTTAACAAGAAAATAAAGGCAGACACCACATCCCCATTTGGAACTATGAAATTTCCCTGGCTGAGAATCCCTGTTTTAAAAGAAACAAACATGAACTGATAACCTTGTTTAAAAGCTTTACTATATGCAAGCAAGAACAAAATTATTTTTAGCCAAATCAGAAGTGCTAATAACTGGTCAATTCAAATGTTTTCTTGAATTACCAAAGGATAAGGAAACAATTTTACATTGACATCCAGGATAAAACTTGGCAGTCTTAATATAATCTTCAGAAATTCAAGATTTACAAATAAATCATTTAAACTAGCTGTTCAAAATAACAATGCAGCAGGGGAAAAAATTGATACTTTATCATAAACTGATGCCATTTATTCCCCTCCCCCCCTAAAAAAAATTTGTTCAAGTCATAGCTGTTCACCTTTTCACCAATTGCATGCACACAAATATTTCCTTAATTTAATATGAATGACTTCTGTTTGGCAGTACACTATCCAACATTGCAACACCAAGAAGGAGTGGCCCAATTATGCAAATTTCAGGGTAAACGCATGTCAGGGAGTTATGCAAATGATGCGAAATGTGCAGCTCTAGAGTGCATGTTGAAGATATAAGGGAAGGAACATACAAAATGTTCAATTTACATGAAAGTATTTCTGCTACGGAAATCACTGTATAAAATTTGTTCTTATCTCAGAGGACATGAGTAATAGCAGAGAACACCATGCCATCATCAAAAGCGGCAGTTCCAGCAGACAATTTTATGTGGGGCATGGTGATCGAACCTAGAAGGATAGGTTGGTTCATACAGCAGATCTCAGCTGATACACACACCTGGACGTGAACAAACTGCACCAGCTGTGACGATGATGGTTGGAACAAGGAAATGTAGCAAAGTTTAAGTGATGCCGCTGCACACAGTCACGTTACTACGCATGAATCAACGCATCAGCCGGCAAGCAGTGGCACATCCACAAGCCACTTCTACCTTCTTTCCAGAGCATGTTCAAAACATCCTAGATGTTCCTATATCGACCAGAACCATTTGCCGTAGACTGGTAGCTAGTGGCCTGCACTCATTGCGTCCATTAAGACTGCCATTGACCCTACATCATAGATGCCAATGTCTGCAATGGTGCCGGGCTTGAGCAAATGTGATGGCATAGGATCGTGTTCTCAGATGAGTCACATTTCTTTTTCTCCAATGATAGTTTCTGTGTACAACTGTGGCATCGATATGGAGAAAGGCACAATCCAGTAGCAATTGTGGAATGCCTCACTGCACAACGCAGCATCATATTTTGTAACACAATTGTGTCTGATTCCAAGTCACCTATAGTTCATATTCAGAGCACTATGATGGCCCAATGATACATGGATGATGTGCTGACCCGGTGACACTCCCCTACTTTCAGAGAATACCAAATGTCCTTTATCAGCAGGATAATGCATGACCACGCACTGGTGGCATCAGCCAACGTGCTCTGAAAGGTGTACAGATTCTTCCCTGGCCACTGTTTTCTCCTGATCACTCACTAATAGAACATATTTGGGATGTGACTAGATGCAAATTACAGACTCTGCCACATTCAGAAGACTAAATGTGGCAAATGGTTCACAGGGTATGGACAGACATTCCTCAGAACACCATCCATAATCTCATTGACTATCTGTACCTCGATGTGCTGCTTCGTATATCACCGTCCAAGGTGGTCCTACAACCTAATGAGCTGATGCTTTTCTCAATCTGTATTACAGAATATCATTTCAAAATAAAGATCACTTATTGTTCGTTTCCGTCAGTTTGCCGAGGTTCATCATTTTCTGGCCACTCCTTGGTGTTGCATTTTCAATATACATGAAAATTTGCATAATGAATATGCCTAATTAAAAGTTAATATTTCTGAAAAATTAATGAAATTTTTTTCCTCAAATTTTACTGCAGAAATTGAAAAATCTAAATCAAAACTGACAAACAGTTTTATACAGATTAATTTATAAAGCATGTCTAAGACAATACCAAAAACATATATATATTTAGATAAATATACATACTTCTGTATCACTACCTCTTGATAGATTATATGATCAGTCATTTCAAATGACTTGACATCCAGAGAATAGATGTTGCCACTGTCTGTTCCTATTAGAAGTTGCTCCCCATTAGAAGGTAGGCAGCACGTTGTGATCTTTTTTAACCTACAGATTTCATATGAAACAATTATTTGAATCACTTTAGATTTTTAATACATACAATACTGAAAAGATAGTTTCCTACAGCTCATCAAAAGCCATTCATTAAAAAAGAAGTAAGAAGTAAAATGAACAATTTCAAGGCAATAAAAAAAAAAAAAAAAAAATTAAAATTAAAAGTAGGGCACTTGAAAATAGTTTATATTTATAACATGATGATAGAATTTAGATTGTCATTCCACACACATCCCAGGATCACGACTTCTGCAAATCATAGATCATATTCAATTTCTGTTTACAATTCTGCTCTCATACTTTTCAAATTTGAATTATTTGCACATGAATTGCATAATCATACCTTAATTTTTTAATCAAGATTTACTAAATATAAAACTAACATTTTTAAAATTAGAAAGAAAATGTTACTATTAAGGATAGTTAGATTATTTGAATATGGATATAAAGTAGTGGCCAAAATTTTGGAAATTTTTATGTTTTTGAACTTTGTATGCTTATAGAAAATGTTACGTTTCGCAAATATATTATTTTAAAGAGAATTTATTACTCAATTCAATACAAATCACAAAATTCAATTATTTGCAATACAAAAAAGTTATATCATTATTTAATATAAATGAAAAACACAGTTATGAAGTGGTTTATAATGCCTAGCTTTCCTGGCCAATCACTGTTCTTTTTCTGAGAACCAATGAAATGTTAGTAACTGCCAGTAGAAGCTGACATCATGTTTACACTTGAAACAATTCATTATTTTGCTTTGTTCTGTAAAAGGAGGACCTGTTTCTTATACACTGCAATTAAAAGTAAGAATTTTTGTAAAAATTTTTAATATTTAGTCAAGAAGAAATGACATCAAATAAAAGAGTAGATTGGACACCTAGAAAGAGATGTAATATTATTGTGTTACGAGAAAGTGGTCTTTCCTATCCTGAAATTTCAAGACAGGTGGGGGTTCAGTGACTACATCTGGACTACATCTGCACCACATCTATTGATGACAGAAGAATCTGTCTCCAAGATAGAAAAATGTCATCAGCGGCTATCAGAAGTGATCTGAATGATGCTGGTGTTTCTGTCAGTTCAAGAACAATCAGGAGAAGAACAGATGTTGAGTTTTTTTTTTTAATTTATTTTATTGGATTATGGCAAAGCACTTCAAGGCTATCTGCCTTAAGGGAGGGATACCTTCGTGGAAGACTTTCAAAGGGAAACTGGCTCGTATACACGTTACACATGGGGAAAACCACGAAAATGCCCATGCAGCCCATCCGTTTGCGGGATTCGAACCTCGGACCGAACTACCAGTGTTCAGCGATGTTACCGCTCGGCCGCTGGTGGGGCCTTAACAGATGTTGGACTGAGAGGTAGAATTGCACGAAAAAAGCCTTATCTTAATTTTCAGCAACGAAAAAAGCCTTATCTTAATTTTCAGTAACGAAAAAAAAGACTACAGTAGGCAAAGGAACACATTAATTGGACAGACGATCAGTGGTCACAAGTTATATGGAGTGATGAAACTAAGATGTCGTTATTCGATAGTGATGGGCGAAAATATGTAAGACGAAGAATAGGAGAACAGCTACATCCTGACCGCATTCAAGCAACTGTGAAGAACCCAGTTAGTGTTATGATTTGGTCATGCATGTCAGCAGATGGTATTGGTCGCCTTCATGTCATCGATGAGACTCTGAATGCCAGAAAATACATTGACACTATTCTAGAACCAAAATTTCTACCTTCCATCAGAGATCTCTTTCCCAACAATGTTTCGTTTAATTTTCAGCAGGATTCTGCTCCTTGCCACATGGCCAAAATATCGAAAGAGTGGTTTCGTACAAAGAGCATTAAATTGTTGTCATGGCCTGGAAATAGTCCTGACCTCAATCCTATCGAAAATTTGTGGCACCGTTTGAAAACTCTTGTCCGAATGAGGTTCTCATCAAATAAAAGGGAACTAATTGAGGCTATAATTGTTTCCTGGCATCATGTAATAACGAAAGGAGAGCTTAAAACTCTTGTCAGCTCAATGAAATGTCGATGTGAAGCTGTAATCAAAAATAAAGGGTACCTTACTAAGTACTGATAACTCACTGCAATCATCAATATCCAATGTATATCGTTAACTATTATTGTTTAACTTTTTTTGTATTGCAAATAATTGAATTTTGTGTTTTGTATTGAATTCAGTAATAAATTCTCTTTAAAATTATATATACAAGTTTGCATTTTGTGAAATGTAACGTTTTCTATAAGCATACAAAGTTCAAAAACATAAAATTTTCCAAAAGTGTCCACAATTTTGGCCACCACTGTATACTGATCTTAATTCATATGACCACTGGGACATTAGTGTAATGAAAAACCACTGTAAAGATAAAACACAGGATATTTTTAATTAATGAACTCAAAATATATATATATATACAGCCACCACAAGAAATTGCTTTCAAAACAAGTTTTACGTGATTATGAAAAATACACTATTTTGTTTACGAAACCCATAAAAAACTGATTTCCAACACTAATTCTACCATAATGTTACATGCAAGCACAACTGAATTATTAACTTTACAAAATGCTAGAATTTAAATTTATTAATAGGAATTTATTCTCCATATCTTTACTTTCTTCCTATTTAAAGCCAGGAAATCTTTACAAGTGCCATTTCCATGAACTCTCTCTCTGCCTATCGACACAAAATTGTTTCATGATTTCAAGGAATATAACAAACCCAACAAAGTCAACCAACATATTCTTGTCACATAATTCCAAAATTAACTACAAATTCAAAATTAATATTATAATGGAATATGCATTAAAAATTGGGATTTACTTAGATACAAAGCTGCCAACCTTGAAGTATAAAAACCTAGAGGACCTGCCAAGAAACAAGAGTTTCGAAAAGTTTTCGCACTATGCAGCAATAACATTTTAAAGGAGTTCAAAATAAACTTAGATTTGCTTTATAATGCATGATTCAGTTTATTCAACTATTTACATCACAACTCTGATGTAAAATATATAATTTACATATTCTAACTTTTATAATGTTAGGTTAATTTCAATCTAATTTTTACACTCTGAAAAACTTCAGAAACTTTAAAACTTCAATTCATCAGAATACTTTTAAAGCAGGTTAAAAAAAGGTAATAATGAAAATAAATACTACTGTGTGAATAAAATTAGTAATATACAGTATTAGTAAATAGTATTTGTAAAATAACCACCAGTATCTGGCAACGAAGTCCAAAACCCCTCGTGCCCTTTATGGGGTATTTGGAAGCACATCTGGCAAGCAATTGGAAGATCCGAAGTTCGAATCACGGTGAAGAAACTATTTTTTCATGTTTGTCAATCCGAAATAGACCTAATTATTATTGATATGAATTTAACCATGCAGTCACTGCCATGCCAAAACTCTAGTGACTCTACATATTGATTCAAACGAAATACAAATATTTACTAATAAACATGTGGTTGAATTAAATAAAGTTCTAGACTGTCTACAGTAGATTAAAACAATTCAGATATAGTAAAATTTAATGAGAAAAATTATGCTGAAGATCACTAGGTTGCACGATTTAATTACTTGATTTTTATTGCTGAAAACTCTATTAAAAGCTATAAATAAAAAACTAGGAGATCTGGTATCTAACAGGAGATGAGCCGAAAACTGGAAAAGTTGGCTGCTATGTAGACATTATTTTAATAACCAGGCTTTTTAAAAATGCATAGGCTTCATACATATCAACTTTCATACCTATAAATTGAGATATTCTTTAAACTTAAGACTTTCTATATTAAAATGAACAACAAAGTAAAAAATTTGATGTGTACACCACATGACTTCCTTGTTCGGAATATTAAATTACACACATTTTTTCTTGCATTTCCTTTAAACTTATCAGATTGAATTAAATTTACTTCGCCGATAGCGCATAAGCCACAATAGAACAAATGCATTATTTAAAATTCATTATATTTGTTTACCATAGCGGCATTCTGGCCCTAGGTTCACTTAACAGCATTTCGCTTCATTCATTTTTTAACTCAGAATGCACAAAATTTTGTTGCCACATGTTCTATTCAAATACTATAATAAATTTAAAATGAATAGAAATTAAACAAACAAAGGAAAAAAACAGTTTTTTTACAGACGATTCAGTATTTCTCATTCAATTAATTCAGTTTTCACTTCATGTCAGGCAAAAATCTCAAGACTGGCAACAAATCCACTATTCTGCGGTTTCAAATGTATGCAAACATGGCCGCCATGGTAAAATAATTAGGCTTAGCGGCAATTAAACAACTTTTAAATCGTTGATAATTCTAAAAATATTGCATGCAGATTTACTAAAGGCATAAAAACCTTATCCAGAAGATAAGAACATTACTTAATCATTTTTAAAGCAAAAAATGCACAATTTACAAACAAGAATAAAGAAACAGATCCTGAGCCAAGTAACAGTGTGGACACATATATGTATAGATAGATATAGATATAGGTAGATAACAGCATATAGATACAAAATTGTTTCACAAGAATTAAATTTTAATCATGAAATTTTAATTGCAGAAAAATAATTATTGCTGCGAACTAATTTACAATATTTAAATCATCAATTAAATTTAAGAACATATGTAAATTTAAGTGCACGTATCTAAAACCATGAAAAATATGTATTTAAAGCGTATATATACATATATTTATATACTTTTGATGTATAAATATATGTATTCAAAAAGTTTAGTTTTCATATATATATGTATTCAAAATACTTTTGATGTATAAATATATGTATTCAAAAAGTTTAGTATTCATATATATATGTATTCAAAAAATTTCAAAGTGTTGTGGTGTATAAATACATGTATTCAAAATTCAAAGAGTATATATATATATACTTTTGGTGTAGCTGAATGCAACCAAAATACAAGGTGCACATCTACACGTTATAGCAAGTCTATATACAAAATTTCTACATTCAGAGGCTACTCTCTTTGAGTTAGGAGAGATACGTACGCACAGATGCCATGAAAAGTTCTCTTCAGAATTCATTTTAAATCAGTTTTTACAATTTTTTGGGGGAAAAGAGTTCTTCATTCTGTGCTTACATACAGATGTAACGCAAAAAATCATTAAATTGCATTCGATAGCAGTCAAAATGGATATTTTCGTTGAAATACACTCATGTCCATAAATTAAGGATAATGCAAAATCAGGCAAAAAAAGAGAAGCAAAACAAATTTGACTTATTTGTAAAGCTTATTTATTAAACAAAAGGTAAAGAGCAAAAAAGATGCTATATGTTTGATATTATTAAAAAATTAGCGATTTTTTCTCCCTGGAGCAAATTACAAAAAAAAAAAACTATTTTCAAAAAACCAAGATTACATGGTTGGAATGATTGTTAATACATTGTATGTCTCCCAGACGATGCAATACAGTCTGTACAACGCCTAGGCATGCTGAGTACCAAATTATTGATCTGATCTTGGGGGATATTACACCACTCAAAAAGCAATGCTCTCCAAAGTTCTGGTAGACATGTAGGAGGAGGTTGACAGGCTGCAACTCGTAGGCCAAGCATGTTCCACACGTGCTCTACTGGATTCAAGTCCGATGAGAATGCTGGCCAGTTCATACGTGTGATATCCTCCGATTGAAGGCATTTGCTTACGATGTTTACAGGTGAGGACGGGCGTTGTCATCCATAAACACAAATTGTGCGACCATGGCGCCCCAAAACAAACGTACATTTTGTTCCAGAATGACGTCCCGATAGATTTGGCTTGTCATGATTCCAATTTGAACATGCTGGCTAGTTCTGGAACCCAGAATAATTCCACCCCAAAAGAGCACTCCTGCACCTCCGTAACGGTGTCGTTCAATGATGTTTTCTTGGTGGTAACAGGTACCTGGAGCTCTCTATATGAAAGTCCGGCGAGATTCAGACTGCAAGCTAAACCTGGACTCATCGGAAAACATCACACAAGCCCACTGTTGCAGTGTCCACAATGCAAGCTCTCTACTGCAGGCGACAGTGAGTTGCAGTAAGTGAAACGCATCTGACAGGTCTACGAGCATATAGACCAATCTGGCCTAAGCGTCTGTACATGGTCTGCCTTGAAATTGTCGTATCAATGGCTGAAGAGAGCTGACGAGACAGGTCTGAGGTTGTGCTCCGCCTGTTTCTTTTGGCAGTAACTGCCAAATACTGGTCCTCATTCGGCATTGTAACTCTGGGGCGACCTGTGCTGTAACGTCTACTCACATTATCATCATCTTGGAATCGTTGCCAAAGCCTGGAGATGACACTCTGGGCAATTCAAAGTTCGTCTGATACTTCCAGTTGGGTACACCCACATTCCAGATGGCCGATAATTCTACTTTGTAAAATATCATCCAAATGAGTCCTTTGGGTCATAACTATTCGGTTATTGCACTGAAATGCTTATAAAGCGGCTGCGAAAAATTTTACTTCTTTGCCTGTATTCCTTATATATCACTCTCTTACACTCTCGTCATTGTGACGTACCATCGGTGTCATCTGGTCACTTCCTGAAATTTGCATATGGTTCTTGAAGATGTGTGTAGTGATTTTACAGGCGATATGTTTATTTTAGAGTTCGATTTCCGCGTGACTCCGAATTATCCTTAATTTATGGAAATGAGTGTAGATGCCTGAAGTTTTTCTCGATTACAATACTTCCTTTTTACAAGGAAGTAAAAAGGAAAGTACATATTTTTGAATTGAGATATGACGGACCACAAAGATAAATTCATGTGTGTGTTGGAGATATTACGAAGTGCAAACGCAGGTCTCCACACTGCATAAACAATAATTCGTTTAGTTGTGACACCACTTGGTATTTCAAAAATCAACTCACAGCCAATGTCAATGGATTTACGCAATCTGAACTATATTATTCGTCACCAAAGCCTCTCAATTTCAGAGAGGGTGACAAAAAATTATCCTGTTTCTCCTGATATTTCGACTATAACCAATAAGAGGATGTAAAATAAAACAGAAAAATTAAGAGGGCATGACTTAATTCCGTCCATAAACTGTTAGACAAGGCAAGAACTCTGAATGCTCTATAACTCTGGACAAGACTCTCAGCTCACAAGATCCTCACATAATGAGTACTTACAATTATCTTACCTGTGCATTCAATATTAATTGTTAATTGCCATACTGTATGAACAATAGAGCTTCTAATCTATTTATAATATAATAAATTTACTTTTAGTCCTATATGGAATGAGTTAACACACAACCTAAACAAATCATTCTGTTACCAATTATTACATAGAGTCGCCATATGAGCACAGCATCACCCCAGAGATAATCTTGAACATCAAATAAGCTAATATTCAGCTAACTTGAACTTTGAATAAAATCTTGCTATGTTTTGTATTTTAAATATATGATTTGATTACTTAGCGCATTTGCAGTTTCTTTGGATCTTGACAGCTCTTAGGTACTGGTACTGCTCTATCTTTACAGATTTGAGAATAACATGAAAAAAACTACAGGCGGAAAATTTACATTTTTACAGCTGGTGAATGCAAATGAGCAAAACAAAGGCTACATATAAAGTGATAAATACATATGTCATATGTACACTCCACAAATAAAGGGGGGAACAGTTCTATATCGTCTGTTCTACTGAGCCGATTGACGAAATTCAACTTTTTCATGTCTTGAAAGCACGACTTAGGACATGCATTAGATTTATATACAAGAGTCATTCTAATATAGGTATTTCGACACAAAATCAGAATTTTTCTGAAATGACATGCCAATTTTTTTCTGCGTTTCGATTCTATGACTCAAATTATGTTAAACTGCCAAGTTTCGTAAAAATCGCATGAATAGCTCTTCGGTGCTAAATGAATTTGATATATAATTATTAATCTCTTTTTAATAAACTTACTTGATTCCTTCTTCCAGAATTTGAAATTCAGGCTTAATCCTATGCATTTTTAAATATTTTTATAAATTTTTCAAAAACATTTGTGTATTTATAACCTATAAAATTTGTAACATCCTATTAAAGTAGATGAATTTCTAGACACACCTACAAAAAAAATTTTTTTTATTCAAAATTTTCTAAGATATACATGAATTTACATATTAAGACGGTTTTTAAATTTGGCCTTTTATTTTAGCGATAATAACGGCAAACAATAATACGCACTTTGTTAAAATTATCTGAAAGTATGAACGATGACTTTTTCCCGTTCATCTACAATGAAAAAAGAAAAGGGAAATATGTTGCTATAAATTAAGAAGTTAGCCAAGTAAATTATTTTTGGCGAAAACTGAAAAAATATGCCAGGATAAATTTTTGAAATTCTCCGTAAATTTTGTACCGCATTTTACAAAATTTAATATTTAGGCATAATTTGAATCAGAGTCAAAATATGAAAAAAATTGGCATACCATTTCAGAAAAGTCCACTTTTGTGTAAAAATACCCATGTTAGAATACTATATATAAATCTAATACATATCCTACAACATGCTTTCAAGACATGAAAAACACAATTTGAAATTCGTCAATCAGCCCAGTAGAACAAGAGATATAGAACTGCCCCCCCCTTTTTTTTTGCACCGTGTACATGAACAAGTTCATTACTGTTAAATATATACAACAAAAATGTCGGAAACATGGCAATTCTACCGAATGTTTAAGTTAGTGAATGTATAATGAGGAGTTAATGAAATAAATACACACCAAGCCTTTAAAATCAAATAATGCATTTCGTATAAATAAAAAAATCAATATAAAATTTATGCAAATACATTTTAAAAACTAGTCATTTTAACAAATTTACAAAAAGCTGGAATGTGAATAAGAAAAAATTTTCCTTAATAAATATTAACTTACCTTCCTTGAAATGAACAAGATTTAACTTCTTCCAATTCCCATTTGCCATCTTTTTCATTTAATTCAAAAAGATGCAAGGAGCTATTGTCACATTGGCTGATTAATCGACCCTATGGAAGATTCATAAATAACCATTTATAGTTCATCAACTAATCATTATAATAAATATTACAACATTTTAAACCCCCCAAAAAAATGCAAGAAAAAGTTATATTTAAATCAACAGCTAGTAGCCTACAAAGTGCAAGATTTCTCCAGTGAACCACAGGAAAGATTAATAAAAATATTACTACCGATTGCAACGTTTTGATGGGTTCCCCGTCCCCTGATAATGCGCAAACATACAGCTGAAAGCTTAATGCTTTGCATGAATATTCAGTGTTTTCCTTAACTTCCACTGCATTATACTTATACAACATATTTATTTACATATTACATTAAACTGACATATTTACATATTAAGTACATTCAAAGTGACATTTTACACTTAATGTGATCTAGAGCTCATTTTATTTTCTGTACAAAACTGTTCACACAGATATGAAAAGTATACATATTATATAAAATTGTTCTATGTATATTATTCTAAGACATTTAGGGTTTATGAAATCAATATACATTTTAAATTAGCCCTTGTATAAGGAGGATCAGCTTCTACGAATTTAAAATGACGATAAATTATACCAAAATTATTAGAACTGGTATTTACATAAAGTTTAAATGCAGACTCCAGCCATATTAAATGTTAACACATTAAAGGCGAAGGATCTTGACGAAAGTATGTTAGGTAACGTGGTGACCACTTAGCCTCGTTTTTCATCCTAGAGCGGGCAATATTTTGTGTAATCATACAAAAATTTAGACTTAAAAAAGTTTATTTAAACTCTTAAAACTACAAGAAATATTAAAAAAGAACTAAACACTAATTAAAAAAATTTTTTTAAAGTACATATTTATGAGAAGAATTTAGTATTTTTATGACTGTGATAATGTTGATAACACTCGCCACGGTGAAGAGGTGCATTGCAAAACTCGCATTTGAAGCAAGTCAACTTTCTTTTTTTATGTGCTGCACAAACTATGCAGTTTCGTTGGGCATATAACTTTTTGCCTTTATTTTCTATCTGAATTAATTTGTGCTTTTTGATGTCCAGGCAGATCAATTTTATATCGTGGAGTCCGTGGTGCCGAGTTCAATGTACCAGGTTGTGGCTCTTCAATGTCCATCAAATCGTCTGCATATACAATCAAAAGTCGTTAATCCGGAAACCCATAATCCGGAATGATCTATAATCCGGACCTCAAAGCTACAAACTTTCTGCGCATGCTTCAATGCATAATGCGTTCATGCATGTTCACGCAGGTCAACACGCATGCACACAGGTGTTTACGCATTCGCATATGCCTGTCCGCATGCGCATAATACGTTTACGCATGCTTGTTTAATGTGTAACGGATGGTATAAGCTAAGCTAAAATTATCTAATTATCTATTTCAGTTAATGTTGCAGATTGCGTTGTTCCTTACTCTTTGAATTGGATCCGGCTTATTATTTTTTGCAGACTATTAGAGCAATTTTATAAAAGTAAGCTTGAACTTTCGATTATGTCAAATAGTTCTGATGCTGGAGCTGCCAAAGGATCTACAAAGCAAAAGTATGTTTCGATTCCATCAAACAAAAAGTGGAATTGCTGCAAAAAAATGGATAAAGGCATATCCTTTGTTTCTCTAACCATTCCGAAATCTGTGTCACTCTGCTCTGCGGGGGGGACGCCGCAGCGCACAATGAATTGGAAGTTGATCTGTCAGCATTATTCTTATCTTTAGGGCAGATGTTTTTATTTTATTTGGCTTATAATTCCTTACTAAATGTAGTATTTCATCTTGATGCACTCCATCTTTGATATGATTTAAATCAAACTCTTCGTCATTGTAATTTGCTTCCGATAGTGAAGAAAGTGACACAGAGGTTATTGAAAACGAAAAAATTTCGATTGACAAATTATTCGGTATTCTCGACACAGCAACTATAGGACTTGAACAGTGGAACTTTGTAACTGAACAAGAAATTATGTCTGTTTATAGAATTAAAGAGAAAGTATTATCACATAAAACGAAGCAACTTAAACAACTCACATTGAAAGAAATGTTTAATAAAGTAAATAAATATTAAGCTTTTTTTGGTAAATTTTGATACTCTTTAGATCAGGGGTCAGCAACCTGTTTGTCCTTCAGGGCGCAATACTAAATTTGAAAATCACCGAGGGCGCATATTTTATAGATAATCAACAGGTATAAATAGGCATTAAAAAACAGATTTTTTATAACTTTATTTTGTTGGTGTCATACATAATGATACATATAATTCAGTGTGAAACTTGGGTGTCCATATTTTCAGCTAATTTCTTATAATTGGTGATATATTTAGAGTTCCCGGTCCTTAAACAATTATCTAAATGGGAGTCATTAAGCTTTGTTCGGTATTTTGATTTCAAATATTTCATATTTGAGAACAAAGACTCGCAATTGTATGTTGTTGCACAATATAAATTTTTAGCGCACATTTCCTTAAAATAGGATACTTATTTTCATCGATTAAGTTCCAAAACATTTTATCATTACTATGCACTTTTAAAATAATATCACTTTGCAAGTTTACGATTTCTAATTCTAGGTCTTCGATATTATGAAGCTCGAAATACACTGAAACTATTTCAAGGACATCATCTTCAGTAACATTGAATGGATTTATGAAAAATCTTAGAACAGGTTCTAATGCTGCAAAATCTTCAAATCTAGAAGAAAACTCTTCTATTAGCTTATCTATAATTTCTAAATATGATGTAGCAGTAAAATTTTCATTATTCAAATTTAAACACTCAACAATATAGTTTATATTCGGGAAATGTGATAATGATTTTTTCAATAGATGTGATTTCAACAACACTAACTTGCATTTGAATGCATTTACTGCCCTAATCATGTCAGCGATATGCTGATTTTTCCCTTGTATTTTAAAATTTAATTCATTCACTTTGCCGTTATATCTGTCAGAAATCCGAGGTCGATTAGCTAATCCTTAATTTCTAATTGCTCGTAAAATTCGCCTCTTGATGCAATAAATTTCTTTATTTGTGGCAAAAGCATGATAAACCGCTCAAGTATTTTACCTCTGCTCAGCCACCTCACGTCAGTATGTAAAAGAAGATCTGTGAACTGAACGTCCTCATCTTCTAAAAGTAATTTAAACAATCTGTGTTGCATAGCTCCCGATCTTATGGAATTAATAATTTTTGTTACTATCATAAATACATGTTGAAAACAGATTGTTTTTGCACATAACATTTCCTGATGTATGAGGCAATGATAAGAAATAAATTTCGGGAATAAGGAATCCTGTCTACATAAGGCAATAAATCCTTTTTCCTTACCAGTCATCGCTGGTGCCTCGTCTGTTGTAATTGACGATAACTTTTGTACAGGTAATTTTACATCTGTTATATACTTTTTAAAAGTAGAAAAGATATCTCCTCTGGTGCTTCCCTTTAATGGCAGAACTTTAAGGAATTCTTTTGTTGTAAAATCAGAAAATACCATCTTCACGCAAATTGCTAATTGTGATATATTTGTCACGTCTGCCGATTCATCCATCTGTAGCGAAAAGAAAATATAATTTTCCATATCATTTGCTAATTCTGCCTCCAAATTCTCCGCAATTACTTCAATTCTTCTAGTAACAGTTCGTGCTGATAATTGCAACGTGCTTATAGCTGAAACTATTTACTTTTTATTTTTAAATTCTTCAAAAAGTAAATCAGCAGCTTCTAACATGGCTTCTTTCACTAATTCTCCATCTGTAAATGGTTTTTTATTCTTAGCTAGCAAATGCGATATTTTATACGACGCGATCGTTGCTGCTTTATGTTGTTGCAGTGATTTAGTAAAAAAACTTTGCTGGTTAGTTATTGAAGATCTTGAAGAAATAATTTTTTTCTTCTAATTTCAGAGTTCATTGGACAGTCACTATCAAAATTGATATGAACGGTCTTAAAATGTCGTTCAATATTACTTTTCTTGGGAGTCGCAACACTATTATTACACGACAAACAAATACACTTCCCTTTGTAATCAACGAAATAATACAGATGTTCCCATTCATCGTTAAAATAATATGTTCTTTTTCTTTTACATTTATCCATGAAGGGTTTTTAGAGAAAAGAATTATTTCGGATTACTTGGTAGTTTTAAATGCACGGTCTACGTGTGGTCTATTCGAAATACGATCACACACTAACAAAAAATACGAGTGTGTTATTAGATATGCTTAAGGTTAGCAAACTGCTAATCTATGCACAATCCTAAATTCAACTAACTCTAACCACGCTAGCGAGAGCAGTTTGGCTGAGGGCCAAGATGGATCAGTTTAATTGAAGGGGTGTGTGGGCGAAAAGCGCAGGCATTTTTTCCTCTCGAAGGTCGAAAGGGTGTGGATGAAATCGAAGGTCAGGGGACATTCAGTGTCTACCGGGCTACTGCACTCACCCCTACATAACTGATAGATGTGCCCACTTCCGCCCCAAACCGGATGTTTACATAGATCTGGAATACGTGGTCAGACAGTACTTGCTGTATATCGCCGTTTGACAAGAGTAAGTAAATTGCTCTGGCTATCATACATTTACAGTAGTCCAGCGAGGGCACATTAAGAATCTATCGGGGGCGCCGCGTTGCCTACCCTTGCTTTAGATCATAATTGTTCTTTATTTCATAAATTACGGTTTTATATTTTTAATTTTATATAATTTCTGCATGCCATCTTACCAGATTTAAACTGATGATCTATAATCCGGAAAAATCGATAATCCACTATCGAAGTCCCAACGAGTCAGGATTAAAGACTTTTGACTGTATAGCTTTATTTTCACTTGAAACCATATTGAAGGATTTCAAAATTTACTGTAAACAGAATTTGAACAACCGAACAGCTTCAAACCATAAAACATACTCAATACAAATGTAAAGTGGTGCATGGATTGCGCAATCCATGCGTTTGCTACAGTAGAGATAAAGGGGCAAGCTACAGTCGAGATAAATCGCAGTACTACGACACTTGCGCCTTTAAGCTACAGTCAAGATAAATCGTAGTACTACGACTCCCGCCTTTAAGCTACAGTCGAGATAAATCGTAATACTACGACTCCCGCCTTTAAGCTACAGTTGAGATAAATCGTAGTACTACGACTCCCGCCTTTAAGCTACAGTCGAGATAAGTCGTAGTACTACGACTCCCGCCTTTAATGTGTTAATACAATAACAAAAATTTCAGCATAATCTGAAAGCTTAAAAAAGTTACTGAATTTTTTCAGCGAAACCTAAAAACAATTAGCGTAACCAGCGTAAACGACGTAAACCAGCGTCAATGCTCACCAACAGAAAAAGTGAAAACTTTAAAAATTTTTAAACTAACCTTTAAGATGAAATTTCATGTCACTTCAACTAAGTCATTTTTATCTTTTAAATATAATAATCTTCATTTTATACTCTACCAAGATTTATCGATTACATGAAATATGTTAATCTTTTAACTTATTTAGTATTTCTTCAAACTACACAATATTTTTTCCTTAAAGACAAAATTTTTACCTGGCCCGGCAAAAAGAAGAGTTCTGTCACACAGGTTTCTTCCTTGTGCTTTCCTTCAAATTCTACTCCAGGAGTGCCATATCTTATGAAAGTCAAAGAAAATCAAATAATGAATCAACTGGTTACATGAAAAAGAGATTTTAGACTGGAAGCAGTTTCTCGTGAAGCTTTAATTTTCTATGCAGAATTTTTACAGAAAATTTTCACAGAGTTAATGCATATTAAAACTCATTCAGAACACAAAATCAATAAAAGTCAAATTTCACTTCACACACCTTAAGTATTTCAAATAAAAAATCATCCCATGCTTAATATGGTAAAACATGGTTTGGGTGCATAAACTGTCTTTTTTTTTTTTTTTTTTTTTTTTTTTTTTTTTTTTGTCCCAAAGGATTTGAATCCCGAAGGACTATTAGTTTCGTTTTGGCATTTTGCGTCGGACTCATAAATGTCGGTTCACTTTTCAAACTGTTGCCACAAAATGTTAGAGTCCTGCATTATATTTGAAGAAATTAAATAATGAAAAATCTGCATAAATGTATGTATATTTCTCGTATTGTGATAAAACAACGGTACATAGAGTCATCGAATTTTGAATAACGTAATCCTCCAACGAATATGAGCATGTGGAAGACCAAATTTGAAATTTGAAATTTGTTTTATGATCGATTTCCTATTTTTTAAAACTTTGACGAATTTTTGATTAACAAACTCAAGGATTTCAAAGCGAGCAATGGCAACGTTGTGCAGAAAAAACATTTTTATCTCCAGCACGTGAGTCTCTGTATCGGAAATTCTAAAGATATGCTCGTTTTAAAACTATTTTGCGATATTGCTGTTGCACTGGATCTTATGGTTTAAGTGCGAGGAACATGATATTTAATAAAGAAAGGTAACGCACAAAATGTTAAAAAAACGCCCCTTTGGACGTAATTTAAAATCTGAAACATTTCAAATTTTTTTTTTTTTTTTTTAATGAAATTTTTGCCTTGCAGTCAAAAAATCAAAAAAATGCTGCACACTTTGAACTGTCCTTTGAAATCATCAGTGAAATGCTGCCATCTGTTGAACTGAAGCCGAAATACACTTCTCACGATCAGGTTTCACAATACGATGCACTCAAAAAAAAATTAGCCCGATTAATATTCGGGTGTGATATTTTGGAATACCAGTGCTGTGCCCGGGATTATTTCGGGCATGACAGTTAAAAGGTTAATCGCCTTTTTCCGATAGCCTATTTAATCGCTTTTTTCTCGGGGCTACCTAAAAATAGCCTATCAATAGGTAGCTATGGAGATAAACAATTGCCATTTGCTATATTATCTGCATTTTATTAGTAGTATTGAGATACATTGCTCACTTGCGTTAAGTGCGTTGCTTCGTAAACGCCCACATTTTCACACAGTTTTTAAAAAATTTACCATTCACGATGAGCAAAAAAAGACAAGCAATCACAGATGGAAATACTATCATTCTGTATTTTTACTTGCTTGACTTGTAACAAGTTATGTATTTCAGTACTGATTCTTGCCAAAGAAACATCCATCAATGTTCACATGGTGACACAATTAGCTGTACTAAGTCTAAACACTAACTGTTCCATTGCTCCACCCTTGAAATCTAGGTTTGAAGTCCTCAGTCGGTGAAGGATCAGCCAAAAGGAAAAACATAACTTAACCTAAAAAAAATTCTTCCCCTCACACAGAAGCAGAGGCAAATAAACATACACTTCTCGTTTAAGCAAGACTTCACAACTTTCTCCACCTTTTAACTTTTTCCGAAGTACAATTTCTTCAATTTGCCGAAACTTGACAACAGTTTGCCAAATTTAGCAAGTTAACAGCATTAATTTTTAAACATCTAACTACTTGCACTTTTTCCATTTCGGGCTATTTTAAATGACATTATATGGCATACAATACAATTTATAGATTTGGTTATGTCTGTAAACTAAATACTGAAATGAACCGGAAAGGCTAAAAATGCTTTTTATGTAACTTGATTTTAAAAAAACTTCAGATAAATTAACCCTTTATAAAGCTGTGGAAACTATACTTCCCACCAACTTCATTAATTCTTAAATGTTGATACGAAGTTATTTTTTCACCTATGATCTGTTCTGCCATCTGTAAATAACTTCAGAAAATAAATAAAAAAAAAAATTTAAAAAAAAAAATACCAATAAATGGGGGAGGTAACACTGAAGGTTCGCGTGGGATCAAGAAGACTCGCCTATACTGGGAAGCCATTTTGTCTGGCATGTTGTTGATAAGCACAGAAGTTCACGCTTATGGCCAATTCTAAATAGCAGGTAAAATTTTCAATTATATTTGCCAGTTTTTTGTATTTGATTCGCAAAGGAAATCTTAAATCTCTAATTTATTTTAGTCAAATTATTTTTCGCCCTTGCCATGGAAACGTATAAACAGAAGAAATATACAGCAGTTGAGGCTTTTGACTTATATTTTGCCCTCCCAAATGATCGTGAAGATTCAGACAAAGATGCAGATGACGAATTTTCAATTGAGGAAAATAGAAATGTTAATGATCCACAGCCAAGCACTAGTAGAGGTACAAATAAAGCAATAAAAATAGGGCACATGAACCAAAGAATTGATTCAATGTCCAGAATTATAGAGGTTCAAAATTATTCTAGTGACACTAAAGAATACAATGCAAATGATGAAGATGAGGGCTGGTCTGATGATACGAGGCATTTTGATTCCCATGTTATTTGTATGGATGGAGAAGGAACTATCAATCCTAGTCTAACATGAACCAGCACCCCCCCTCCAAAAAAAAAAAAAAAACTTTTTCCCAAATATTCAGTGAGGAAATTTCAGAACATACTGTCGAGCAAACAAATTTATATGCATCCCAAATCAAAACAAAAAGATGCTCAGGTCACACGAAGTGAAACAAAAAACTGTCCAGAAGAACTGCAAGCATGGATTGGAATGAACATTGTAATTAGAATTATTATGTTGCCTAGTATCAATAATTACTAGAGTTCTCATCCTGCATTAGGACAGGAAAGTAGTTCCTAAATTATGACGTGCAAGCATTTAAAAAAAATAAAAGCAGCGATCCATGTAAACGATAATGAGACGGCTCTTCCAAGAGATGACCCAAATATAACAACTGACTTCATAAGGTTAGATTTCTTATTGGACAGCTCTATAAGAAAAAATTTGAAGCTTTCATATCATCTAGTGTATTTGCTGCTGATAAAAGCATGATACCTTTCAAAGGTCAGTCTACTCTAAAACAATGCTTGCCTTTATAAAGAGGAGTTACAAAGCTTGATGTTTAACTGATTTAAGAACTAGATACAAACAGAAGTTTGACATTTATACTGGTAAAGCTAAAGATCAATTTACAACGGATACCATTGGGAGAACAAATGATACTCAATCTAATAGTTGTTTGAATCTAATAGGTCGTAGCATTTGACAATTTTTTACAATGGTAAAACTAATGAAAATGCTACATCAAAACAACATTTATACTCTCGGTACTGTAAGAACAAACCAAAAAGGTCTTCCCGCAATAATGAGAGAAAAAGTAAAGCTGAATAGAGTGTAGTTTCAATTCAAATGCAAGGAGAACATTGCAGCCATCAAATGGATGGATAATAAACCTGTAACCATTCTTTACAACAGTAAATAGCCCAAGCACAACTACAGTAGTTCCAAGAACAAGGATGGAAGCATTACTCAGGTATCGTGTCCAATTGCTATTGCTATATATAATGAGATTATGGGAGGTGTTGATCACTTTAATCAACTTACATAAAGATATGAAATTGGAGAATGTTCCCAAAAATGGTGACATCGAATCCTTTACTTCCTAATTGATATGGCAATTGTTATTCTCTGGAAAGTAAGTAGATGAGATTCAGGGCCTCAAGAACAATAACATTTTCGACTTCAGCTAGCACAATCGATTTCTGGATTTTCAAGTCGTAAATGCAAAGGACAACCTGAAAGTTTCCTGAGCAGCAAAAAAACTGTTTCAGATGACCTACGATTGACTTAAGTTGGTGACCATATGCCAGCTTTATAAAAAAACAGACATTGCTGTTTATGCTCAACTAAAGGCCATGAGAAGAGAATAAGATACAGAACATAGAACAGCTTGCAATGTTCCACTCTATGTTGATCCTTTTTCTGAAATTTCATGGAAAATAATGTATACAAATTCTTAATTTTTTTAATACAAACTATATCTAATTTATAATTTCTTTTGTAGATTTTAGTATTTGCAAATTATATTTTATGAATATCATGTAATTCAATATAAAAAGAAATGCAAAGTGTAAGATGTCCTACCTTAAAATAGCTCCCAGTAGGTGGTGACAAACATACTTCACACCCAAAAAAAAGTCTTAAAATTCAAATTAATTTTAGGTAATAAGCTAAATGATTTTTTATAAATCAATATCAATCCCAAAATATTTTAGCTTAACATTACTGGGGGAAAATGGACCTTTAACACGTTGAGTGCTAAGTCAGCCATCTGTGGCTGACACTAGACTTTCCGTTTAGGACGCCTCAGCCATCTGCGGCTGACACTAGACTTTCCGTTTAGGCCGCCTCAGCCATCTGCGGCTGACACTAGACTTTCCATTTAGGCCACGTTAACCGTTGCTGGCTGACAGCGTGTAACATGATATATAACTATAAAATTTACTCTATTTTATGGAAATACAGAAAATTTATTTAAAATTTACTTAATTTTGATTCATTACAGGACTAATGGATTTCGTTGAAACACGGTAAACATAAAAACTATTCTCCATTACAGCTATTACAAAATGTGACAAGCTCTCTTAGTCTTTTTTTCTGCCCATTACCAGCTTCTGTTGCATTATCATAATATAATTTACAATATTTCCGTACTTCAGAGGCTTTTCCCAGTTTTCTTTGGAGTTTATGTTGTAGTTTTTTAAATATTCTTGCATTTCTGTTCGATGGAATGTCTTCTTTTTCACAACTTGTAAGGGATAGTGCTAATTCTTTCCGGAATTCAGTAATGCTAATTTTCTGCTTCGTAATACCTTTGTATAGAGTAACTATTTACAAAACAGACTTGGCGCATAACGTGTTGAATGAATACCTATAAGAATCCCGTCCCGAACATAAACTATTTTCTGCTGCAATAAGAATCACTGGCCCTACAATACTGGCGCTTTTAAGCGGCACGCGTGGCCTGAACGGGATTGCCTAAAAAATACTTGTGGCACTCAACGTGTTAAAGGGTTAACACAAATACATGGATTTATCAATAGCATTCCTCCTTAAGAAGTATTAAAAAAATTCGTTTATTCAGCTAGCTTGATGTTTCCATCTTCGCCAAATAACTTAAACAGGCTAAGAACTAAAAACTACGACAATGGCAAAGCTTATTCTTTGCAAACGGATACTGTAATTTTAATTTACAGTTACTTAACTTAAATTTCCTACACATTATTTCACTGATATGCATTACGATTTCAAATTATTTAAAAATGAAATGAAGTAACAATCTATACAGCAAATGGCTACATTTTGATCTTTTACTTCAATCTCATCTGCAGTCGGCATTAATAAACAGTTTTTTTAAAAGATTCTCAAACTGAACAATAGCATGGCAGATAACTTGAAATCATTTTTCAAAGAAAAAAGGAAGAATATATAAAATGTCAATATACAAAAAAAAAAAAAAAAAAAAAAAAAAAAAAAAAGAGAGAGAGAGAGAAGAAAGAAAAAAAAAAGAAAAGAAAAGAAAATTACGCAAAGTATTCAAATAAAACAAAAAAAAAAGGCCATTCAATAATAAAATTAATAAAAATATGTTTCTAAGGGATAAGATTGCCCTTTGCAAAGTATGAAGTATAAGTCAATGTTTCCAAAACCGCATTTCAGGTTATTAAACTTTTCATCACTTTTGAAAATGTGAGTCTACTGTTAGCCGGCTGCATGTGCATTTTCTTACTTTTCTCCACGTATAAGGGGAATGTGAACCAGTTTCCCTTAAGAGGTCCACCCCCAGGCATCCTCCTTTTTATGGAGGTAGTGATTTACCATAAGTTATTACGCTGAAAATGCGAGGTGCTGATTAGTTTTGATCATAATGTGTTGTAGTGTGGTCGGAAATTTATAATTCATCAAAATTTGCTGTAGCAAATTGAAGAACCGCAATGCTTCAACATCTATCTGCGTCATTCCCAAATCATTATATAATATATATTACAAACGCACCTGCAAGCTCGCCGACCAGAAAACTAAAGCTTGTGTAAGTAAACAAAACTAGTATACTATTTAACCAATCGCGATCGAGAGGCTCCATAAAGCTCTTAGCATACGCTCCCTTTTGCAACCATTCACCTTGAAATCATTTTTCCCCTCCCCGCCAAGCCTTCACGCCCTTCCTAACACAAGTTCGAAAGGGAGAAAAGTTCATTCTTTGTTCGCCCTCTTTGGTGCAAAAAGATTTCGAACACCAAAAAAAAGTAAAGCAATTTAGATGCTTAAATGTGTTGACACATTCTTTTATCCGATTTGCTTAAAAAAAGGATCAAAATGAAACCGAGTTCGACAGATACGTGTTATATCAGTTTTAATATACTACGGAAGCAAGATTCAACACTGCGAGCCATAATTTAAAACGAAAGAAATTTGAAACATTACTACATTTAACTAACAGCGAAATAAAATTTAGTTATATGAGCAATACTGAACAGGATTAAACAGTTGTTTAAAGGGAAAAAAAGCAAGATTTGCACAGGCAAAGAAAAAGGTGGAATTAGGGCAAGGTTTTGTCAGACCAAATTGCTCAGAAATCATTTTATTAAAGAACAGTGGTTTTGCGGGAGACTTCGAGAAAACTTATTCGTTTTCATATTATGAACAGAGAAAAACATAACTTATGCAGCTAATGCATGTTGTCGAACGGAAACAAACTTGGAACGAACAATGCTATCTAATCGGTTCCTAGTACGTTCACACGAGAAAGAATTCCATATAATGCACAACAAAACTTGTGAAAATGTTCTAAGCAAATGTTTCATTAGATTTATAAATATCGAGCCGACGTTTACTTTGCATTGCCTATATATGCTGATCCTCAAAAGACAAAATCGCATAAAGCTTCCAATTGCTCAAATGAAGGTATATCCTTAAAACATAATGCTATCCCGAGATACGCATTCTGTATAAATAGCATGTGCAGTTTTTTCATCAACACAAAGTATGAAAAGAAAATAAGGAAGAAAACTGCCATCTCCGATAAACAAAGATATCAGGCAGCTGTAGATATCAGTTTAATTAGGAAAGAAAATTAATAGCGCAGTTCGTAAATAAATTAAAACTAGTTTTACTTCCAAGTAATGGTACAAATGACGTAACTTGAACCTAAAAAATTCTTTGAGCACACTAAAAACATGTAGATTGTAAAGAAAAGACTAAACAAGCATTTTTAATATCGGCCAATTCATTTTATTCAAAATAACCTTTAGCGGTTAAAAGATCTGCATCGTGAACTTTCAAAAGCCCAGAGGGACTGAACGACAGCAAAGCACGTGAGGGCTTCGTGAGCACGAAGGGTTGCCTTCACGCAGGACTTAATAGGGGAAACAGGTTCATATCTAAATCACATTTGAGAAACCCCCACCCACCCCACCTGAATATAAAAGGCGTTCGAAATACTAATGCCAATAATTTCATCGCTGAGCAAAAGCCCGGAAGTTATTTAAATCGCCCTATATTAATATACCCGCTGTTGAACAAGAGATTACACAATGTGTTTTATACTAATTCAAATTTTAGATACAAAACTGGCTTTTTATACAGGCTCTTTAAAGCTACAGAAACTTCTTGCCACTCAAAACACCGGTTTCTATTAAATGCTCTAAAATTTTAATACAGAATGTTAAAATAAATTATATTTCCTTCAACTCCAGCATCAGATCTATCAACAATTCTGGGAAGAAACTGGTATTTCTTATTTTGATGAGTTAAAGTACTGTAGCAATTTTCATGCAAGGCAAAACATTAACAAAGAGGGCCAATAAATTGTCTCATTTTAGAAATACGGAAAAGACTTTCAACACCTTCTATAATAGTCTCAATAACGTTTAGGCAACTCCAATTGTCCATATAGCTTTTTATTCACATCTGAGTGGATTTTAAATGGGCAGAATACAATGTTGATATCAAGGAAAAGATTTTAAGGTTTGTCTCGCATCCAAAGTATTCGCTTATCGGTGTTACTATTTTTAAAAAAACGCTTTAATGGACAACGAAATCCTGGCATACAAACTGGACAAAAACCGAGATAAATTCCTCAAGGCACACTTCGTTAACAATGGGCTTAAAAAATAGGTTGAATATCAGCTAAGAACCTGAACTTAAAAAGATGATGTGAGTCACCAGATGTTTAAGGGAGAAAGGCAGGAAAAAAATGGCAAATCTGACTGCAAAAAAGACTGCTATGTCTACAAGAAAGAAAGTTAAAGAAAAGCAGACAATGGAGGTTGAAAACTGGTCCTGCTGAGGATCGCAGCCTCGGAAAGAATGATGCAACATTCTCCCACTGAAGCTGAACCTCCGAAAGCTTGGGTCAATCAACTCCGGAGCGATTGACTACACGAGACTATTTATTAGTGACAGAGGTGGAAGCGTGCGTCGATCAGAGCTTAAATTGCGCCGGAACCCACGGGAGCTACTTCTATTTTGGGGATAAATTCTAGTCGCAGCCCTAAATAAAGAAGGCACTTCTTTTTTATGTAACTGACCAACAATTTCAGTAAAAACTGGATCTTGAAAAAAAATTTTAGCAATAAAATTATATTAAAAATCACTTATTAAATTTTAATTTATTTCAAATTTCTTTAATTCAATAATCTTCCGCAAAACAAGCAAAAACTTATTTTCCCCAACTGTTAATACTACAAAATTTTAAGTAAGATTAAACAAACATTGAGCTGGACTGGTCAATGTTTATCGACATTTATCATTAATTACCATGCACTTGCACATGATCCACCTATTACGGTTTATTTTCCCATAAAAATATAAATTCATGCAAGTTGCAAGAAATATTAAAAACAGATGAGTCAAAGCTTAAAGCTGAGCGAAAAATCTCCCGATCCAGCATACTAAAGTTTCATTCGGATGAAACGAAGCCCAGATGTTTTCACCCAGACATGTATACAGCAGCAGCTTATTACTGATTCAAGGTTTATGTCATGGTAATCCATTCCAATGGAGCACTTAAAACTAATAACGATATCAATTCCTAGGCGATGTAGTCAACATGCTGAATTTGCGATTAGTCACCTTTTTAATGTAGCACAGAGGGAGATATCTGAAACCCTGATAGTATTTTCCAGTTTAATACTCATGAAATTAAGAATAAAAGTTACTTTTTTCCTCTTCCTGAAAAAATAAATCATTACACACTTCAAATTATCAATACTTAACACTCGAAATTTAATCATCATAAAAACAAATACAGAAAATATATATTACAATTCACCTTAACATATATTTCATAGATGTGATCAAAAAAGGATACATTCTAATAGAACCACTTTTTGTGCCAATAGCTAGAAGCTGCAGTTTGGCATCCCATGCCAAAGCACTAGGTCTGTGAGGAAAACCATGAGGCACAGTCTGAAATTCCAATATTAATTAACATTAAACTAGACATTTAACTGGAAGTGGCGTATTTAACTTTTAAAATATGTAACCAATAATAAGATAAAAACATTAAATATTTCCACTATTAACATATATCATGTTTACTATCACTAATGTTCATACTTTTAATATCTCATAAATGACAAGATAAAATTTTTCTATTTGAAAATATGAATAGCTTTTAAACAATTTTGATCAGAATTTTTAAAAAACAAATTTTTAGAAAATATATTCAAACATTATTTAACATATATAACTGAACACTTAAAAATAAATGGCAATTTGAAATGCTTAATTCTATTTCAGACAAGCATAATTTCCATTAATTACACACTGATTTGATATACACCAAATGAAAATTTCAGTTTCAAAATGTTTTTTTTATGAAATGAATCCAACTGCAGCAGATAGACTTAATTTCAGAAGTTAGGATCTTGTAATGAAAAATTCATTTGGGAGGTCTTTCAGGAAGATATTCAATTCTTTGTTGAAATAAATCCAGTCTCAAAATTTTCACTGTCATTGCTACACAGACAATAAATGTTCAACTAATGCATATATGGTAAGAATAATAGTTTTGGTTAGTGGAACTAAAAATTCCCATCAAACTCTTTTAGTAAAATCAGAAGTTTTCCTTTCACATCACGCATTAGTGAATTGTAGAAAACTTAAGTCATTTGAAATTGGGGCAATTACTTTGAATCACTTGTATAGGCCTTAACAATAACAAATACAAGACTAAATTGTCTTATGCATAGAAATTTTGCATCTTTCAGGTCTAAGAAGTAACCTTATATCTGATAGATAATTTGATACTTAGGTATTTTTATGTCAACCATTTTTAGAAAATAAAAACGGTCACCCAAAAGTGCAAATTAGTCCCAATAATGGACATGTATGATGTCGCAACACTCAAAAATCTTGTCTTTGGCTTTAAGTAATCCTTAATACGGCAGTTTAAATTTTGTCAGAGGAATATAAATTAACTGCTACTTGGATGTTTCTCGCATTTCAGAAAAATTAAAATTTGGAATCTCCCTTCTACAGAAGAGCAAGCAGGGCAAAAAATATTTATATTTGTTTGACAAAAAGTAACAGAAGTGAGTATTGGCAAAAAATGTAACAGAAGAAACTGCAGAATCATGTGACACAACTAACCTTAATATTTAAGGGAATATATGCAATGCCAAATTCACGAAGGTGACAATTTTATAGCTGTTTTAAATGCCAATAAAAATTGTTAGCTGCCAAAAATGATTCACCAACACTATGCAGTTTATGTAACTGAATAAAGAGCAATCAGTTCCTTCAAATTTCCATCAAAATGTTTGGCACTAATTTAGTAGGAACTGCTATCATGGTTGATTACATATGTACTGATGATAAATACGCATGATACTGCACATGCTATTTATCCTGCTTTTAATTTACTTCCTATTTGAAACATCTACCCAATTCACACACACACACTTTTGCTTTTACACTGTTTATTAATCTACTAAGTAATTACCAATTATTTTGAATTTTAATGGTTCTTATATTCAAGAAATTTGAAATAAATCAAGAGCCCAAAATCAACTGTTCTGCTCGAAAAATATCTGCAGCATTTAATTTAAGTAATTTTAATTTTATGCTGCACATGCAGAAGTAAACAAACACAACTGGCAGATTTAAGTTTTTAACAATTAAATGATACCATTTAAGAATATATAATATTTTCTTTAAATTATTACATTAGCTCATATACAAGACGAATCATTTCCCCCTCTTGAAATAACCCGAAAACTCACCATTTAATAGACACTGATACCTAATAATAAACTAGTATTTTAAAATATAGTTTTTATAAATAATTTATTCTTCAACTTTGCCTTAAAAGTATTTACTTAGAAGTTCAATATTTCAACCATTTGATTTTCTAATAAAGACACTGATAAAACTTAACTAAAATCCCACTTAATTTACATGGCTTAATGAATTCATTCATTTTTCCAATAAGTAAAATAACCACTTAATTCAGATTTTTGCTTTACTTTAACAAATTTTCAAAAACGTCCACAAATTTTGAAAATTTCAGCATTTATTTTTAAAAAGAGAAGGCTAATCTAGCATCCAGTCACTCAGTAAATCTGTTTCGAGATGAATCACTCATGCTTACCTGTCTTCCATGAAGATGGCCCAAGAGTAACACAGCTGCCAACCTTGAAATATAAAAAACTACATGCTTTTCGATCTGCCCAACCACACAACTTTAAAAGAATCCCAAATTGGCTTAACTTCCCTTTATAATGCATTATTCAAGGTATTAAACTATTTACAATTCCAAGGTAAAATATAAAACATTTAGATATTCTAAATCTTATGATCTTTGGATAATTTAGAAAACCTGGAGTAGGAAAATAATGTTTTTATTTAAGCACTTTTAAATACAATGAAAATAAAATTAGTCACTACTGTATAGATAAATTTAAGTAATGCACCATATATTTTTCGGAATTTGCATAATTTAAATTGCATCAATTCAAAACATCGCATTTATTGCTGGAAACTTTCCTTAAAGCTAAAAATTAAAAACCAGATTTTGCAATCTGCTGAGAAAGGAGATGAAAACTGGGAAGTCGACAGCTATGGAATGGCAATGTTCAATGAAGATGCTTACCTTTCAAGAAATTTGAGTAACTTTCAGAAAAATTATCGTAGAAAAAGTTATGAAAAGATTCATTATATTTAAGCTATGCAATGATTCCACATTCACATGTAAATAAGAATTACCCTCATTTCAAATATTCAGAATTTTTCCCTACCAAACTATAGAAAATAATTTAGTTTTCTATACATCAAAATAATATTTTATTTAAAATGGAGTTGCTCAGATTATAAATGACAAATGTGGAAAATTCTGAACCTGTAGCATTTAAAAAGCGTTCTTGATGTTACGAGTTTTGTCAGATTCATGAAATGAAGCAATATCAAATTATTATCCAGATAATTTTTAAAAACTGGATTTTTATTATATGACATAATCACATACACATTAATGTCAATTTTTGATTTTTAAGAAAGTATGATGATCGAACAAGCAGTGGGTTTTAAGAGGAACATGAAGAAATAAGCTATGTTCATAAATGTTTCATCTAGTCAAGTAAAATTCAAAGAAATCGAGTCAAGACATAAGACAAGACATATCAAGAGAAATCAAGACATGTGAAACAGAATGAAATATTCAACAACTTCACAAAACAAATGTATCAAAGAGTGAAATTCTTGAAACAAACACTGACTTTAGTAAAAAAACTTTCTAAATAATAATGTATACTATTTTTTATTCTATGATTATATACCTTCCACTTATTTTACTAAAATCTTTATACTGGTATGAAAACAATAAATGCTTCATTCAGTGCTTTGAAATCTTCCAATTCAGATTGTGTCACTGTTATGAATTATACATTAAATCCAATTTCAAATTATATGCATAAGATCATCTTATGTAAAAATTTTCCATTCATATGGAACTAACATTTTACAATGAAATGTCATATTGGTCCATATGTTACTGTAAAAGCCCGAAGTCTGGTAAATCCTAGGTTTTATCGGTAAACACCTAACTTTTACCAAAATGGCTTGTTAAATGTCTGAAGTAGGCTTTAATGATTCCATTTTGGACTTTTACCAAGCCTTTGAGGTAAAACCTAGGAGTCACCAACACCTTCCGATAAAAGCCCGATAAAAGTTTGGGCTTTTACAGTAACACATACATTAAAGGACTTCCCTTTTTTGCAAGGTTCTAAAAATTGTATCTAGTTGATACTTTTCTATGAGCAAAAGCATCTCAGAAGCCTGACACTAAACTGTGAAACACAAAACTGTGGTTATGAATCAAAAGGAAAAATCATGAACTGCATTTTTAAAGGTTTTCAAAATAAATTAAGATTAAAATTGCTTAATACGTTTCCAAGACAATTCTGTAACACAGAAAGTACTATAATATTTAAAAATATTAATTCATTATTTACTCATTTTACATTAAAATATTACAAACCTAACTTAAACTTCAGGTCCAATATTTAAATTAAATTGCCTAACAGAACACCAAAAATAAACACCTAAAATACCAAAATTATACATTAAAATGACCCATTTTTTACATGGCAAATTATGAAATATCTGCTACAGTCTTAGGCACCATATTACAAGCTTAAATTCATTCATATAAACAGAATGAGAAAGTTAATTTTCTACTCCAATAGGAAGACAGTACTCAATTACCTCAACATTTTACATTTTTGAAAAAAGATTCAATGTATATATGGTAATAAATACAAATGCAATAAAAATTACAAAGCACACATTATGTTTGGCACTTTATTAATGCACTTCAGATAACAGTAAAATTAAGATACAAATCAAAATGAAATATTTAAAATTCAACTTCATGGTACATATCTATTTAATATTGAAAGCATTTTCCACCCACCCATCTTCAAAAACAGTATTTCTTATCCATACCAGTTATAACCAATACTCATAAACTTAATTCCTAAATTTGTAATAAGCTACTTTTAAATATCAAAATAAGCCTTGTAGCATTTTAATAACGAAAATCCTAAAAACAAATTTTTAGATCTCAAATACTCTAGACAGATTTCTTATCCCCTTGGCTTTTATCACCAAATGATGCTAAATTTAGCTACAAGTATTAATTACAAACTCTTAAAAATTTGGCGATGTTTCGTTAATTTGGCGAAATCCCCTTCAAAACCCATTATAAATTATACTTGTAGGTGTAAAGAATCAAAACCTTGACTAATGAACATTTACAAGGAATAAACTATAATTTTAAATAAATTAAAGATGTTTAATAACAGCTACCATATATACTCGCTTATAAGTCGACCCCCCACTTCGACATAAAAAATTTGTAGAAAATAAGAAACCCGCGTCGATCCCCCACTTCCGAAATCGATCGAGAA